TCCATGTCATTCTTGGACGTACCACTTGCCGCTTCCCTTTCGGGTTCCACTCGAGCGATGGACTGACGCGCGACGTCACCCAGCGGCCTCCTCAGCGAGTGTCCAATCCATCTCCACTTCTGTCTCCTGCATATTTGTTGGGCGATTAATTCTTGTTTTGTTTCTTCCCATAGTTTCTTGTTGGTTCTTGTTCTTTCCGGCCATCTGATCTTCAGTATAGAGCCAGCGAAGACAGCTGTTGTTGATAAAGGTGTGCAACAGGCTGTTGGAAATAAATATTCTTTGTGACCCGCCAAGTTTCTGATCAATCCGTATAGAAGAACCGAGTGACTGACTTGACGTTTGTAGTGAAAATCCGAATTTTGTTGTTGATGCAGACTGAGTGACGAAGATTTCCAGATTGGTTTCACGCTGGTGAATTTGTTTCTCGCCTTCCCGATTCTCGATTTGACATCCTCGTCCTTTCCTCCTGTAATTGAGACAATGCTCCCTAGATAAGTGAATGAAGTAACTTCGTTCAAATCCCTCCCGTTGATGGTGATTGGCACTGAAAGATAAACAGTCTAAACTGGGGTCACTGAATAAGTTTCACAGAAAATTATCTTCATGAATTTGGAATTTAAAGGTGATCAGGCGAAATTGCAAATGACCTTCACCAGGCGTAAGTTGTTCTTTATCTCTTCTATAAAAGCTAAGCTACCCCGTCTGGCCGCCTCAATGTGCATCTATCAGTTCACCTGTACTTGTAGAGCAAGATACAGTGGCCGCAGCCAAAAAACGCTTTCCACATGGAAACAAGAACCAACCTATTCCAGAATGATTTTACAAGGGTGTGAGAAACTGTCTCTATTCTATAACACTTGATCAACTCATGTCACTCTATCAACCCTCATAATAATTTTTTTAAGTTCATCTATCAAATTCATGCTAACGTGTTGCGTCTTCTTCGTCGTAAACTTCTAAAGACAGCACAGGTGTCTTGGACATTCATGAAGTCAAGTCAGATCCTTGTAAACCAAAGAAGTATGTACAGTCCCTATTTTTTAACTTGATCGTAGAAAAGATAAACACTTATTTATATTTCACTCTGCTTATTTAGTTAATCTATATGCCCTTCCCTTATTACTATTGGTATTATTCTTACTTTGAGCTGTCTGAGGTCCTATTTGTCAATTTAATCATCAGAATGTTTTTGCACTTATCAAATTATCTGAGTACTAATCGTATAACTTTACACACACACACACACCTCCCCACCCTTCAAACATATAATACATCCTATGAGTTATTCTATGCATGGCATTAAATGTTCTGACACTTGACAGTTGGTATTTCCAAGTATTTTTTATTTTTGTAGGGATTTAGTTTGTTTGATTGATTGATTGGAGGATTTCATCACGATGAGCTCATGACATCAGTTAGAGAACCACTGGACTACTACTTCACAGTGGATATTTGACTGTAATTCTGATCACAAACGTTTTGATTTCATATTATTGTTACTACTTTAGTATTCACACCTGTTTAAATTTCCTCATGGGATATTATTATTAATATTGTTTCCTTTAATTCCTAGAGGAACATAGGGCTTCAGCCGCGCGTCTCCATTGCGTTCGGTTCTCTCCTAGAGTCTTCACCTGGCTCCAAGTCTGCTCACACGTTTTCATCTCCTCTTCACATCACCTCCTCCAAGTCACCCTTTCAATGACGACCAACTCGCCGCTTCCCGTTCGGCCGGGTTCCACTCGAGCAATGGCTTGTCTAGTGATGTCACTTGATGGTTTCCTCAGAGTATGGCCAGCCAATCTATCTTCATTTCTTCCTGCCTATTTGTTTCACAATCGGTTCCTGCTGTGTTGGTTCGCTCATTGCCAGAGATCTCTGTTGCTGATCTTTTCTGGCCGGCCATCTGATCTTAGGTATAGAGTGAAGACAACTGTTAATGAAGGTCTGTAGTTTGTTTGAGATGCTCTTTATGACACGCCAAGTCTCTGATCCGTATAGTAGCACTGACTGACTTCACATTGGAGTTGAAAATCCAGATCTTATTTTATATATATATGATGCTGTAGAGCTTAATAATAAATTGGTTGGAAAAAAGTCTCTTGGCTGAATTGTATTCATATAGGTAAAGTGGAAATTATTAAATTTTTTCATCCATACAAGAAATATGTTTTGCAAATAGTTCAGTTGCTGTAATCAGTAAAAATCATTAATAATTAACTCACTATGCATGACTGATTAGTAGTCAGCAGAGACACCTTGAGCTGCAATCTTCGAGTGTTTGGCATGCAATTCGCCCCTGTAGAATGTGAGATGATGTTGCAGGATTGGACTACACTGACCCCTAGATTAGAAATAGGAAGTGAAGTCGTAGAGCACGTTGACCGCTTCACTTATTTGGGAAGTTGCATCAGCTAGTGCCAAAGGGTTGGTAGCCGACGAAATCTCAGCATGGATACAGAGGGCTAGTTTCGCATATGCCAGTTTACGCCGTCTCTGGCGTAGACGTGATATCCGACTATCGACCAAAGCGCGGCTGTACTGCTCATCAGTCCGCTCTGTCTTCCTTTATGCTTGTGAGACCTGGTCATTGACAGTGGAAGACATGAAAAGCCTGGTTAGCTGTCTTTGATCATAGGTGTCTGCGTTCTATCTACAGCGTGAAGTGGTATAATAATGTGAGCAATATTGAGGTTAGGCTTCGGTTGAGTGCTAGGTGAGTTGGAGGGAAAATCAATCGACGAGGCTGTGAAATTACATCGACTGAGATGGTTAGGACATGTGTTACGTATCCCTAGTAATCACCTTCCTCGACAATGGGCAATATTAGCTGATGTAGGGTCAGACTGGAAAAGAGCTAGTGGCGGTCAAACCGAAACATGGCACCAGTCAATGAAATCTACAACAGTTAGTCTAAGCCACGTAGGAAGGTGTAAACTTCCTGACTGGTTTGGGTCCTCGGGACGGTAAAAACCAATGGTTGGAAACAATTGGTGACATGGCTCAAAATCGTTCTCGGTGATGGCTGGTGCAGATGCATCCACTCCTTGTGACTTATGATTTCCAATGAAACTGTTTTGTTCTTCGTTATTACTATTCCTTTGTCTCCCACCTCTGTTTACTGTCTATATTATGCATTTCTCCTACTTTCTTCTCTTGCTTTGTGTGCTACAAGGAGGGAGTGTGGCGACTTGAACTGCCGCACATCGGTGCAAAGTTCTATGTCGCAAACCGACCAACCGAGTCAGCAGAGAATAGGCTGATAACAATCACTACAAATGGGAAGAAATCTGAAAGAAGCAACCTTCTTCACCTACCTACCTACCTGGGAAGCATCGTTCCAACTACAGGCGGACGGAACTGATGAGGATATGATAGCAGCGAGGATCAGGAAAGCAAGACTGGCAAGCTTTCATTACTCTCAAGTCTGTATGGAGATTAACACTCAGCACTCAGCATGAAAATTGGGATCCGGATTTTCAACTCCAATGTGAAGTCAGTGCTACTATATGGATGGATCAGAGACTTGGCGTCGAAAAAACTACAGACTTTCATCAACAGCTGTCTTCTCTCAATACTACTACTCAAGATCAGATGACCAGCCAGAAAAGATTAGCAAACAGGAATCTCTGAGAGCGAAGCAACCAGGAACTGACTGTGCAACAAATATGCAGGAAGAAATAGAGGTGGATTGGCTGGCCATACTCTTAGAAAACAAATCATCGAGTGGAACCCAAACGAGAAGCGGCGAGTTGGTCGTCACTGTGAGGGTGAAATGGAGGGGGAGGTGATGCGAAGAGGAGATGAAAACATGTGGGTAGATGTAGAGCCGGGTGAAAACGGTGACGGGGAATCGACCTCAATGGAGAGATGAGGCTGAAACCCTATGTTTCCCTAGAAACTAAGGGCGACAATAATGTAACGATATAAAGAATGTCACATTTTCGATAATCTAACTCTATAGTTCTAGTCCATAATAATTAAATTCGTAAAACTATGCGCTACTGATTAGTCGAGGTGAATAGTTGTATGCTAGAGATACAAACCACCAGTAAAGCTTGCTAGTCAAACAGATTGAGGTAAGCTTAATACCGGATGGCCATTTCACTTGTTTTGGGCTAGGCTCATTAGAGAAGTGTACCCAGTCTGAATCAGCTCAGATAGAGCTGGATCTGTTCAAACCATCTGATTTCTGCCCAACTACTTGAACGAACTGGTAACACTGCAAGATCAAAGTGACAATCTGCAAATTAACTCTCAATTTGCATTTTATACAGTTCGAAAGATGAAATATCCTAACAGTTTCCTTTGAGAAATCAAAATTACTCAGAGCACAGTATATGATCTCTTGGATTCCACTATAAATGTCAATTATTAAGGTGAGAATAAATTCATAATATTATATTTTAATGTTCAAGTATTGGTTTGTACGGATTTTCGTTGATTGGTTACCGGATTCCATCATAATTGGTTACATCGGTTAGAGAACTATTGGGAAACCAGTTGGGAGCACTGGAAAGCTGTTTTGTCAGCCTACTTTGGGACGCTTCATCAGTATGCACCCATACACATCAAATTCCGGTTCTACGGCGAACGAGCGAGCGAGCGACCTCATAGACCATTAAGCCACTGGGACCCGATCCGATAGCTAGAGCTCATGAATTCCAACTTCTGCCGATTCACGATATAGAGAGAACTCTAGCTAATGTCATCCCCGGTGAGTACTTTCTGTCTGCACACTCGACCTGCAGTACCCTACAGGGTATATATATATATATATTCTTTACAAAACCTCAGAAATGTAGGCCAAAAATGAACCAATCAAAAACTGTCCAATGAGGTTATCATATCAACGCATGCACCAATCATGAATTCACGACTAACAACGATTGGTATTCCATCCTAACAAAATGTCTAACAGCTACTGTTCTCTCTCTGCCCCCCCACCTCCCTTCACCACCCTGTTAACAACTTTTTTTTCTTAAAAATCACACAAAGACCATAGAAATAAATTATTATTATTATTTCACTTGCATGTACGATAATGGAGTCATAAAAAGTTAGGGATGTAAAATACACACTTGGATTTCTTTTACATATCACAAAGAAAAGAACAAGAAGCAGAAGAAGAAAGAAAGAGAAGAAGAAACAAGAATAGAGTAAACAAATAGCAACTTGTACACACACACACAATACAGCTGTCTCTCCAATAGAACAACAACAACGAAAAACATTTTCCCACCTATCAGTCTACATTCTTTTTCGTTGTTTTCATCATTTATTTCTATTTGCGATTTATTTATATGCTTTTTCTTCTTAACGAACAGATGAACCTGCAGGAACTTCATCTGGTACACAAATCCAGTGTTTTCCAGTCAATGAACCTAATCGCCAATCTCTCCATTGAACATGTTGACTAGGCGATGTTGATAAATCTGGACATAAATGTTCCCATAATTTTGTCTTTGGATTTAACAGTTTATCAGGTTCTACTACAGACGATGATGTTGTCACTGACTGGTCAGTTGAATGAAATATGTAACGTTCACCAAGTGTACTGGCCTCTTTCATTGCATAAATTGGTTGAACTCGAAGCATCGATGAGGAATTATCTTTATACGAAGCACAAAGTAACACAGCCTTGAAAAATAGAAATAGAAAGCGAAATATTAGATAGATTATGCGATTATGCATTGTGTAAGCGCAAAAATATATAATTGTAGATATATTCAAGTGTTGGTTTGTAGGGATTTTGGTTGATTGGTTACAGGATTTCATCATGATGAACTGACATCGGTTAGAGAACCATTGGAAAACCAGCTGGGAGTACTGGACAGCTGTTTCGTCCTAGTTTGGGTCTCTTCATCAGTACGCACCCACCAACAAGGTTCGAACCCAGTGTCCTAATGGTCTACGAGCTAGCTCGCCTTGTAACCAGAAGGTCATGGGTTCGAACCCCAGTGGGTGCGTACTGCTGAAGAGTCCCAAACTAGGACGAAACAGCTGTCCAGTACTCCCAGCTGGTTTTCCAATGGTTCTCTAACTAATGTCAGCTTATGATGAAATCCTATAATTGTAGATGTTTATCTTAGGAGAATCAGTGATTGACTTATTTTTTTGTTGTTGTCGTGGTTTCAGTAGTGATGAGGTCGGTTTTAAAAAGGGTGAGGTTTCTGTATTCATACATTTCGTCTCTGTGTCTTTCTTTCTCTCTCTCTCTCTACCTGGCTTAGAGACGAGGTCTTCGAGTGGAACTGACTGACTCACTGACTTAGTTTCAACACAGAAGTGTATCGGTTCAAGTTACGACACTCCATGTAGGTAGCACACAAAGCTGTTATAAGCAGAAATAATTTAATAATTCCCATTGTAGCATTAAGAACACAATGTTCAGCGAAGAGACTCTTTACAACGAATTTATTATCAAACTGTACAATCGTATATATATATATGTATATATATATGGGTTTTTTTCAAGAAATTATATCCGGTGAGGGAATTGACTCAAAGGTGTATATACATGAAATAATAATAGTATGAAATACAATTAAAATATTTGTGATTGTAGTCATAGTTTAATGTCAAGTGGCAAAACAATCAATGTTATATTTAGAATAATACATAAGGTGTGAATACATGTTGGAAAGCGGGCAAAATAGTAGGATCAGTAGGCGAATATAAAATGTTACATAACATGGTGTGAAATTTGCTTAAATAGAATTCAATATTGTAAAAATTGATTTGGATTTAGAATGACAAATGGGACAAGCGGAAACAATTCAGAGTGGGAATCGTAATAATAATAATGATAATAATAACAATAATAATCGTAGTAATAAGGCAAAAGTACATAGAATGACTAAGTAAACAAAATAAATAAGTGTCTATCTCTCTACGGCCAAGGCAGAAGTAGGGATTGTACAGACTTCTTTTGTACACAAAGCTCTGGTTTAATTTCATGAATTACCAAGGCCTCCGCTATCTTGAGGAGCCTGTAACGAAGGACACGTGGCAAGTTAGCACGCATTTGGTAGATGATCCTAAAATCATGGTCAGCGTTGGCAGAGTGACAGGAGTCAATCAGGTATTCTAGAATAGAGCTTCGCACACACTTCTTTTCTCCCTTGAAAAACCATGCAGAAGGAATATGTCCCCGTTTCCGTGTAGAAAGTGTCTTCTGGCCAGGGCCAATAAGCCTTGAGTCACAAGAGCAGGTGAACTGATGGAGGCGACCAGACGGGGGAGCTTATCTTATATGGAGACAGAGAACAACTTGAGGCGGGCGAAGGTCATTTGTAGTTTTGCAGCAACGAATGTCTTACTGACTGCTTTAGAGAGACGGTTTTTGAGCATATCTGCAGCTTGATCACCTTTGAATTCGAAATTCACGTATATGGTTTCCTTTGGAACTGAATCGGTGACCAGTTTAGACTGCAAATCTTTCGTGTTACTGTCAATAAATCGGTTAGGGTAACCGTTTCCTGCCAGCATGATTTCTAGGAAGTCAGGTTCTGAGTCAACGCAATCAGAACTAGATTAATTGTTTTGCTACTTGACATTTAACTAGGATTATAATCAGAAATATTTTAATTGCATTTCATACTACTATTAATATAATATATAATACATATTTATTCCTATCTAAGTATTCACACCTTTGATCCAATTCCCTCACCGGATAAAATTTCTTGAAAACCATATATAAACGATTGTGCGTCGGTGGCACAGCGGTTAGGATGCTTGCCAACCATGCACACGGTCCGGGTTTCGATCCCAGGCCGACGCACACCTGATATCAATGATGGGCCTGCAAAATTTGGGCTACCGATATCACATGCTGAAAATTTCATACTTGTATCAAAAATACTGTGCAGAGTCAAGCTATAATAAAATTTTTTGTAAATAATTGTACGGCTTGATAGTAAATTCGTTGAAAAGAATATCTTCGCTGAATATTGTGTTCATAAGCAGAAATGTCATGGATAAACCACATAAGGATTTAATGCATATAGGGCATCACAAAGAACAAAGTATGTAACAAATAAAAGACAATTGGTGGATAGCGGCCACCAGCAGAATTAAGGATGCGAATTTCGTCCTAATTGGGACTCGTCATCCGGACCTACCTGCGTTTCCCAGTGAGTGACAGTGTTCCGAAAGAAGCTCGAACCCAGTATCCGGAGTTTCAAACGTCAAAGCGTTGTCCACTAGACCACCTGGGCCACCTCTTATGTAACGAGTCTTATTAATTATTTAATTCAATTTTAGGTTTTCCTGTCGTTTGATTGAACTGAAGTGCTCGGTTTCAGGTTGACATGTCAGCATCTTGTCCAAATGCTTTGACAATGTCCGGTCATGTAACTTGATGTCAATTGGGGGATGGTGACTAGCAGTGGAATCTTGGATGTGCACTTTGTCCTATTTGAGACTCTGGATCCTACTGCTAGTCACCATTCACCAACTGATTTCAAGTTACGGTGTAACGATAGAGAGCAAAGGCCAGGCAACAGATCGTTTACTGAGAATATTAAGAGGTATTTATAGATTATACATTGCTGTCGGTTGCATGGCGGTTAGGACGCTCGCCGACTATGCACATGGTCCGGAGTTCGATACCCAGCCGATGAGTCACTCCTTTACCTCGATAAGCCAGAAATAAAAAACCTGGTAAAGAGGAAAGGTTGGGCATGAGGCTGGCAACCCCATCCTATAAAATAAGCACTGCTACAGAAACTTCAAGCCATTAGCTTGAAGCCCTATGTTCCACTGGGGAACGTGAAGGAAAAAAATTCATTATTGTCAGCGGAAAAGCAACGTCTTCTGATTGATTGTTTTCTTGCTGAAGGTTATTCTGTACTGATTGTGACCGTTTCTCAGAAAGTTCAGTCGCATTTCCACACGTTAAGTCGACTGTGATTGGTTGTTGAGTTCCTTATGGTTAAGCTTTGTTCTTGTTTTTTCCCATGACCCCGATTAGGGACGTAAATTTTTGTCTACAATTTTGACTTGTTTGCTACCAGCTCTTACTACAGCATGACCAGATGTCGTCGAAGCATCTCTGCATAAAGAGCCGACATGACAACCTGAGACGGAGCTATTCGGTCCAATCAACGGGATCAACGGTGAAATCTAAATTGAATTCAACAAGTAATAACTAATTCAAAAACCGTAAAGTGTATCCAATAACAGATTCATCAAAGGTTTCAACACTCCAATCTGATCGGTTAAATTACCTCAGACAAACCTCATGCCAACATTATCTCACCACTTATATATGTAACGACAGAAGACAAGAGTCAGGCAACAGATCGTTTGTTGAGAAAATTAACAGATATTTATACATTTTTATCTACATTATTATTAGACATTGTTAGCAGAGAACCAACGTCTTCTGATTGGTTGTTTTCTTGCTGAAAGTTATTCTGTCATCTCTTTGTGGCCGTTTCTTTGAAGGTCAGACCGTATATCTGCAAATCATATCCGCCCACGCTAAGTGTGCTGTGAATGGTTGTTGATTCCCTCAAGGTTAGGCTACGTTCTTGTTTTTCTTCTCATGACCAAGATATGGGACGTAAACATTGACTGGTGTCTACAATTTTGGCTTGCAGACAGCTCTCACCACATATAAAATAAGTTTTCTAGGATGGTGGTGGAGGGAGAGGGCGAAACCGAATTTCAGCAATAAAATAATAACAATGATAATCAATAATATCCCTTACCTGAGATTCAATCCCTCGAATTTTCACCGGTTTCATATTGACAATAAATATACCATGCAGACCAAGAAGTTTTTCCATAGGATAAAGACCAGCCAATCCACTGACAACTGTTCTTTTGCCAATCTCAGCGCCAAAGTCAACTTCTTCAATAAACAGACTATCTGCATTCGGATGCTTAATTGTTGTTGAAGGTATTGTATGAAAATAAAGTATTGTTATGAATACACAGCTTTATATGTATGTAATAGAAATACATTTTAATTAGGTACATCTAGTAGACGAGTCGCAAACAAAAACGAAATGCGGATTCTGTATTCAACTGCTAGCCACCATGAACCAGATGACACTATGCTAATCTACAGATATCGTCATCATCATAACCTAGTATGTATATAATCCTCTCGGGTCTAAAGCGATGAATGCTTGGTTCGAATCCCAATGGGAATGGTATTACTCACTGGGGATGAATGTGCATCCAGCAGACGAGTCGCAAATAGGACGAAATGCATATCTTGAATTTCACCTCTAAACACAACCTAGCAAATAACATCATATGACGAAAGCGATCAATAATTTCGGTTCAGTGATAACTACAAAATAACTTCAACAAATAACAATAGAAAACGCATTGCATGAGAGGTGGTCGTCGTGGCTCCTTGGATAATGATCTGGCAACTGAAACGACAAGATGGATGGGTGGATAGAATTGGTGCTCATTGTTGTTAGTTAAGTATCTTCATCACCTCTGTCTTCTCGATGTTCACCTTGAAAGTCGTATCTTTACTGTTGTAGATCTTCGAGCTTATAAGACATCAGACATAAATCATTCTCTAAGTCGACATATTTTACAGCCTTCTTGTCGATCCAACATATTCCTGTCTGCTCGCTCAATACAGTTTTCCTCAGGTTCCACTCCACCACAATCTGGAATGTCATCGGTGATAGAAGGTAGCCTTTCCTTACTCCTGTCTTCACTCCAGAGTCTACTCTGAGTTTTTCGTTGTGGTAATATCTTCCATATTTCTGGTATTTGCAATGAGTCATTTCTGTTGCATGTGTTGGGTGTACATTCACTCGATGAACCAGACAGGATTCAGTAATCAATCTCCCACTATCTCCACCTACCTATATTACTTCTTAGAATTTTAACCCTCTCTCAGCCTATTGTGTGATTGTGTGTTAATGAATGCAGTGCAATCGCTGAGCTTTTTTCTAAATTACTTATCTTTGTGAGTGGGATCAATCATTCTTACCTTAGCTAAATTCTTATGTTCTGATAATCTTACTACTCCTGATCTACTAGATTCACCCATGTAGTTGACTTAACTCACAGTCATTGCAAGGTATTTTGTAAATTATATTATTTTGTCTAATTGGGTCAACCGACATGGTCCTTCAACCTACAGAGCTTGTCCTATCTGAGTGAGTTTGTAGGTGTGAATGCTACTCTGATTCCTGCTTTATTGACAACCCTACGTAGGGTCTCAGATGTCCCCTCCTTATTTGGTATAACAGTAGATGACTTATATTCTCTCTTATTTATGTTATCATTACTAGTTTCACAATTATTTTTGAATTTGGCTTTTGACCTTTTAAAATCTTCCGAATGAATTTTATAGAATAGTTATTTGATACCGACGCTTCTTCTATCTGCTTCATTTCATCGTTTAGGTATATTTTTGTGCTACTTCCTCGGTTTCTTAGACACTTAACTGAGCCTGCCTTCAGAGACAGATAACGGATGAGATGAATTAAAGAAGTCTAAATATCCAATATTAGAATGCGTTGGCTTGTTATAAACGCCACTAGTGTGCAGTTTACCTTCTTCTGTTCGTTTGATTTTACAATCTAACATCATAGCTAATTCTCCTTGTCAAACTTAACAAAGTGGGAAAGATTTTTCGTTGTGGATCAGTCGACATGTGGCATTATTATACAGCTAGCTGTTGAAGGAAGTTCATAAAGATTTAGGGCACTACATTCTGCTGTATTGAAGTAGTTCTCAAATTACCTCGAGGTCAACATTGTCGAAGACGACCTTGTCAAAATCGATCAAGTTTACAAAAGAGACTTGACTATCATTCTATCCTCTGTTCAATGATGATCCGCGTAGAGATGCAATTCAATCAACACATGAACCCAGCTTGTTCTGGTTGAAGGAGTTTTGCATCCAAAACATCCTGTTAGTTCGCCTAGGACCCTAATAATTTGCTTGAAGTGCGGATAGGAGTAATATTCCGCGTCAATTTTCGCAAAAGTAGCTTATTGTATGAACACTATTATCGAATGCTGAAACTTATTGCGTATTACACATTAAACTGTGTGAACAAGTAACACACTAACTGTTCTGTTATCTATCATTACTGTTAAATTAAGCACTACAAATGACCGTTTAAAAGTCAACCTCAGTCGTTGAATGCAATTCAGTCCCTAAAAATGCTGTCAAACTGCATTCTTTATAGAGTGAATTGCAGTTGTCATTCAGTTAACTGGAGTAATGCTACAAGCGATGACTCTCATGTTTAAGTTCTAGGCCACTTAAATTATCAGCCACTCTCCACTTTACTTACTCTTAATTTCGCTTGTGATAAGAAGCACAAACTTGCAAACCTGCAGTTATTGACGCTGACTAGAAACATTCTTAAAAAGTGTACACACACACTGGGTTTCGGACACAGGTCCTTCTGGTTACTGCTGATGAGTCCCAAACTAGGCTGACGAAACAGCTGTCCAGTACTCCCTGTGGCTGGTGGTTTCGATAGTTCTCAAACTGATATCAATCTGTGGCCTAACTCGAAAAACAAACAGAATCCCTCTAAGAACGTATTCTTGAGAATTCTTAAAAAGGCTCGATTCAAATGGCCGTATTACTACGATGTTAAAAATTTGTTTATACTATTAACTGAATAACACTCAAATAGCCATTTCTGTGATCTGTACACAAAAGAAGACACATCCTATCAGCATATTTCACAGTCGCCTTGGACGTATGCTATGAATATCCTCCTACAGGCTCACATACCACCACCTCTCGTTGTTCTTTAGCCCCGTAAACTGGATGGAAATATTGGAAAGAGGTGGTCAGCCTGTGAAATGCAGTCGTAGGATGAAAGATATTTGTGTTATGTCAGTTTTCACTAGTGCATCCTAAATGATAATTCCCTTTCTGAAATTACCATGATTATTATTATTGTTTCCTTTAGTTCCTAGAGGAACATAGGGCTTCAGCTGCACGTCTCCATTGCGTTCGGTTCTCTGACAACGTTTTCATCACCTGGCTCCACATCTGCCCACATGCTTTCATCTCCTCTTCACATCACCTCCTCCATGTCACCCTAGCACTGACAACCAACTCGCCGCTTCCTGTTCGGGTCCCACTGTCGGGTCTGTCTTGTGATGTCACTCACTTGATGGCTGGTTTTCTCAGAGTATGGCCAATCCATCTGTATTTCTTCCTGCTTATTTGTTGCACAATCGGTTCCTGCTTGGGTTGGTTCGTTCATTGCCACAGATCTCTGTTGCTGATCTTTTCTGGCCGGCCATCTGATCTTGAGTAACGTTGAGCGAAGGCAGCTGTAGATGAAGGTCTGTTGTTTGTTTGAGGGGCTATTTATGACGCACCAAATCTCTGATCCAAAATTGCCATAAAGTAATGAATTACCCTTGGAGTGTTCTTACATGCTTTCCAAATGGTCCTCACCTATTCTAACGCAATCTTCACAAATATTGGTGCTCAAGTGTTCCTGTATGGTACGGCTGTTGGCGCCCAAAGTGTAGTAAGTTTATCCTCTTAGTGATAACAATGATAAAAATGTCTTAAAGTTACATAAGTTAAAGTACCACGAGATTGCCAGCTAGTGCCGCTTTCAGATATATACACACAAGATATACTCATTCGATACCACGAAGAGACAGAAGTTAAAATTCACACAACCTAAGTGGCTGTATGGTAAATGAGGTCAGTCTAGTAATTTAAAGGTGTTCAATTCAATCCTTAATGGGCCTATGGATATACACAAACTAGCCTGTCTCTAGAAGCTCGCCTTGTAAGCAGACGGTCGGTCCTGAATTCGAATCCCACTAGATGCCTACTGTAGATGAGTCCTAGAGATTAGGTTGGAACAAACAGACGTCCAGTACTCACTCCATCGTTGGTTGGTGTCCAATGGCTGTCTAACTGCTATCAATCCCTAGTCACAAGTGAAATGTTTTCAATCTACACTCTCTAGCTTACGCAATTGATTACGCAACTCTCTTTGATGAAGATGAATCCCCAATGAAAATCACGATGATTAGCAAAATAAAAAAGATGAAAAAAAAGAAGAAACGTTAAAATTGACAAGTTAAACACTTACAATCTTCACGGATAGAATTAATCCAACTCGAATATCTAAACGATTTGGATTGAGTTCATCGCCTGAAGTTTGCATGGATAGCGTCTTATTACTGCCATTCAATTTAGGCACAACTGGAATATGAACAGAAAAGCAAATAATGGCACAGTAGATTATGTGAATATCAACGTGTGTGTGTGTGTGTGAGATGTGAAATGTAAACGGAGCATACTATAAGCAGGACTTTTGAAGATGTTGAAATATTGTGTACAAGTGAGTATTCCGGTCTAACCTGAGACACTAGTGAAATGATTCATAACTGAACAGATGAGATGATGTGAAATTGTGTGGCTAATTGGTCTAACCCACTTGATTTCCAAAGCCAATAGGTCATGGGTTCGAACCCCGCTTCAATCCTAATCATAGCGAATAAGAGAAATGGTCGTAGTAAGCTGATAAATTGATTGTGAGATCATTTCAGGTAGTCTCAGGGGTAAGCACACCTGTTATTGTTGTATTGGGTGGTGGTGTGGTGAGCTGGCTGCTAGCCAAAGTTGGTAGACAAGTAGACAGTAGTATGTATATCAAGAGGTGTTCATCGGCATAAAAAACAAATAGCAGGGAGATACATTTGATGTCACCGAAAGCAAATGATTCAGCATTGCGGAGAAACATAGGAGACGTGAAAAGGAAGACGATAAAAGAAAAACAATACTATGAAGGAAGCGCAGAAGTAGCAGGCACACCACGGGAAGATCTGTGCAAATGCTGCCTTGAAGATAAGAGGTAGAGATACAAAATTCCAAATAAACATTCCTTTACCAAGTCTCTCATCGTTTCTACCGTTATAAATACGACAGTGTATATAACTATTCGCTTGAAATAAATGTAGACCCTTCAGTCCTCCTTATGAAAAGAGCTTCATATCACTATGCCATCATAGCCTCAGTCAGGTAACTTTTATTCACTAGCTTAATACGATAAGGCAAGGCAACTGTTAATGTTTATCACTCGACTAGTGGGTGTGAAGGTTCATCTAGGAAATTCCTGATTCTCAAATTATGCTGTACACAGGTCCCAGTATCCAAAGTGGGTGAAAAGGGAGTTGGTAAATGGCGTATGAACCTGATCGGATCATTGGCTATCGTGAGAACGCAGCCCTTGACGTTGCTGTGTCAAATAAAAAACTCTGAAGGAGGAGGGAGGAGAGGATGGTACCTTAAGACAACCATCCGTTTCGGTTTGGATGTCCCGGCAGTATTTGACCCCTCGAGTGAATCACAGGACTTGTGTAGGGCATCTCTCTGTGCTCATACTAGAACTAGTGTGAATTATAGGCAATGAATACGACAACAGTGAGACCACCTTGACACGCGCACAATCCTCCTCTAAAAGTGATTCACTAAGAACTACAATAACAGAAACGAAAGATTTACCTGTGAAACTAATAAAAATAAATAATTACGTCATGAACAACTCTCCACTCCATCCGAGTGTTACTCACACCTAAAAACCACTAGTCTTCATTTAATAACTGACAAACCACCGAGAAAAACAAAAAAAACAACACCAGATACCCACGCATCCACCCATATTTCATCGCAGTTTTAAGCACCAGAAAAAACACAAGTGCGGTGCATCATACACGACTTGCATCATATTCAGGACTCATCAGAGTCCACCATCACTGCCACCATACCGGATGGAATCCCAGCAGAAGCATTGACAATGGACCCAGAGACAACAGCGGACTTGATGACGCCACTACTGAAGAAGGTGTGGAAAGAAGGCAAAGTACCCGAGGATTGGAAGAAAGGATACCTATTCAAACTACCAAAGAAAGGAGACTTAAGTCAATGCAAGAACTGGCGAGGAATTATGCTCCTGTCCATCCCAAGCAAAATACTAAGCCGCACCATCCTGGAGAGAATGAAATACGCCAACCTGGATGAAAACCTTCGACCGGAACAGGCTGGATTCAGGAGAAACAAGTCATGCATCGATCAAATCGCAACATTACGGATCATCATTGAACAAAGCTTGGAATGGCAGTCACCTCTCCACCTCACTCAAGTTCATCGACTTTGAAAAGGCCTTCGACAGCGTCGATCGAGAGGTGATTTAGCAACTACTTCGCTACTACGAGGTGCCACCGACAATTATACATCTCATCCAACAGCTGTACGACAATGCTGCATTCCAAGTAATCCACAACGGGAAACTTACAAAACCCTTCGAAGTGAGGACAGGAGTAAGACAAGACTGCCTACTATCGACAATATTTTCCTGATTGCAGTGGACTGGATAATGCGAAAAACAGTGGGCAATGAGAAAACAGTCATAAAATGGACTCACACGAAAAACTTGGAGGATCTAGACTTCGCCGATGATATATGTCTGATTTCCCACAAACTGGAAGATATGCAAGCGAAAGCAACAAGTTAGCAGAAGAAGCATCGAAGATAGAAATTCTTTCAGGTGAATATAGAGAAAACAGAGATAGGTGATGAAGATTCCTGGGCAACACCACCAACAACAACAAACAACAATCAGTCACCATAAATGGGAGGAATCTGAAAGAAACAACCTCTTTTACCTACTTGAGAAGCATCGTTTCAAATACAGGTGGAACTGACGAGAATATCAAAGCAGCGAGGATCGGGAGAGCAAGACAAGCTTTCACTACTCTCAAGTCTGTGTGGAGGTCAACAGCACTCAGCATCAAAAATTAGATCCAGATTTTCAACTCCAATGTAAAGTCAGTGCTACTCACTATACGGATCAGAGACTTGGCGCGTCATAAAGAGCATCTCAAACAAACTACAGACCTTCATTGACAGTTGTCTTCGTTCAATACTCAAGGTCAGATGGTGGTCAGAAGAGATCACCAACAGAGATCTCTAGGAGCGAACCAACCCAGCAGGAACCGATTGTGAAACAAATAGGCAGGAAGAAATGGAGATGGATTGGCTGGCCATACTCTGAGGAAACAAACCATCAAGTGAGTGACATCACAAGACAAGCCATTGCTCGAGTGGAACCTGAAAGGGAAGCGGTGAGTTGGTCGTCAGTGCAAGGGTGACTTGGAGGAGGTCATGTGAAGAGGAGATGAAAACGTGTGGGCAGACTTGGAGCCAGGTGAAGATTCTAGCGGAGAACCAAACTTAATGGAGACGCACGGCTGAAGCCCTATGTTCCTCTAGGAATTAAAGGAAACAAGAACAATTATAATAATATCACTGCCACCATATCACCCCCCTCCATAAATATCATCATCTTTAATGAGAGAAGTGATTTCAGGAAACAGACAAGCAACATAAAACAGTGTACCACATAGACACACATATATATGTATACCTTGTTCACTGTTTTTCACCTCGCTGAGATTATCTGGTCGACGAAGAATATCAGTACTGTTAGATGTCGGTGGATTCGTAGGCTTTTGACTGCTTTGTTTACTTGACTTATCTTTACTCTTCGATTTTGGTAAAGGGAAGGCTTCATCCAACAGGCGCATCAGTTCATCCCATTTCGGCAGCGATTTGCTTAAATGATTCGCCAAACTTTTCTCATTCGCCATAGATAAAAGGTGTTCAACAGCTGACTTTAAATCACCAGGATGCAGACTACCATCGGCGAAGTGTTGTTTCAATGAATCCCATTGACTTAATGAAGATGATTTACATGTGATGTGTAGTGGGCCACCATTTTTCTCTGAACGAGGGATTATAAAAGGCTCTGCAAAAAAATAATAATAGTAATAAGAAGTTAGAACAAGACATGTATAAACGAACAATATTGCTGTTTTCAATTAGATCTTTTTCAGGTTTAACTCTAATTTACATAGATTTATGTGTAGAAATGTTTTAACCAATGACAGTGAGTTTGTGGATCAAATAATAATAATAATATGGACAGTGAGCTGTTTCATCCTAGTTTGGGAATCATCGGCAGTACTCATCCACGCCTAGGGGTTCGAGCGCAGGACGTACATGACGGAGTTTCCTGGAGTTTTAGTAAGAAGTCGTGACCGCTGACGTTCATCCAGTCAAGTGTGAGGACGGATGTCCCATCGATGACATTGGTTAGTGGTCGCGCCAAATGCTGAATTGGTAGGAGTTAGAATTCATGGGCTGACTATTATCTCCGTTTCGAATGGCTGAATGGTATACGAGGTTGGCTTATAACCGGAAGGTGCTGCTTTCGAACCCCACACCCCCGGGGTGATCCAGGGTGAAACAGGTCACTGTCCAGTACTCCCTGGTTTTCAATGGTTCTCTAACTGATATCAATTCGTGGTCAAACTTGTATAAACAAATCTAATCCTTACAAACGAACTCTTCAAAATAGATTTAAGTATAAAGATTTTAACCAATGACGTGGTAAGTGTTTTGAACGCCAGTAATAACGATGATTATAGTGATGACAAAATAATGTTAATTAGGTTTATGCAGGTGGCGATAAGAATAACAAAGGTAGTAATATATGTATATGTAGACAATTCAATAAATAAATTCGGTCAAATCTTAAAAGTTATGTAATACTAAAGATGAAGTGGACAGATAATCAGAGTTTAAATAAGCATCATAAAAGCCCCAAAGAAATGGAAAATAAGGAAGGGTGGGAGGGTTTTCAATTAAACTTTACCTAGACTAAGAAGCAAAGGTAGAACAAACTTCTTTTGTTGTATGCAAAGACACTAGGATTGTTCTCTCGAATTCATTACCATAGCTTTGTCTGTGTGAAAGGCGGGTTCGAATTCCGTTCGAAAGGTTCAATGCAATGCGATAAATAACTTTGAAGGGGCTCTACTTCTCTCCACTTGGTGCCTGGCCCTTGTCTTCTGTCGTTACAATATTAGATTGTCTTAACTCCCCCCTTAGGTAGAAGGAGTTAGACGAAATTAACATGATGTAGGAAGACCAGGAAGGACATAATCCAATACCGGTGGCCTGTGTCTAAATGTCCTGTCCATTAAAATGCATCGCTTTTAAAACTGCCTTTCGAATTGCTTTATTCGTCTAATCAGCACAATGAATTGCAATGTATACTTGCGCACAATTTCAAATAAGTTTTCACCTTCCACTAGGAGTTTTTTGAGGAGAATATAGGAAGAACATCGAGAAGCAGTATTGGAGCATACTTTGGATGGATCGATATTGCTACAGATGATCTATTATCGATTATTATATTTATTCGAGGAGTCTCCAAAAGGGGTAAATCGCTTGCAATGAAAGTTCCTGAAATTTCTCTATTGTGTGTAAACGCATTTATTATTGAATGTTCACATTTGACTTAATTTCAATTTCAGCGTCATCTATGATGACAAAAGGAACACAGGAGCGAACTAGTTCCTGTAAATGAGACATTTATGCTTCTTTATAATTCAAAAGCCAAGTATACTCAGACTCCTAGTCCTATTCAACCACGGTAGGGATTCCTACTACACTCAAATTTATACTATTTTGGATTCCATTTTTTTTTATTATAGCTTGACTCCACACAGTATTTTTGATACAGGTATGAAATTTTCAGCATGTGATATCGTTAGCCCAAATTTAGCAGGCTAACGATTGATATCGGATGTGCGTCGGCCGGGGACCGAACCCCGAACCATGTGCATGGTTGGCGAGCGTCGTAACCGCTGTGCCACCGACGCACAAAGTGCTTAGCTCGAGGCCTCGCCGGATATTAACAACACTGAAGGTGTTACCATCAAAGAAAACGTAAACTTTACAGTTAGAACAATCTAGTTCAGAGAACACGACAACACCAAGTGCAGGATTTCGTAGTTCACTGGCAGAATAGTAACTGATCATGCTGCAATTGGCTAGAGTTCGATTCCCAGCCAGCCAGCCAACAGACGTACTCCTGAAACCTAACTTAGCTAGTAGTAGTAAGCCCTTTAAAAAAAAAGAGGGAAGCAGACCTACCCAGTTGAAAAAGAAAGAAAAAACACCACCTCCATTGAAACGTGAAAGCTCTGTCTCTCTCTCTCTCTCTCTCACTACCTTGAAGACCAATGTTCCACTCGGAATGCATATTTGGTTTCAGCTCCGTATTCTACGTCACAGACCAGTGGTATAATCAGTCGCAATAGATATGACTAAGTGTCAAATTTATGAAAATGCATGCAGTCCCAGAATTAGAGTATTGTATATCATAACACAGATGACATGTGCGTGTGTGTGCGTGCGTGCGTGAAATACTAATCTCTCAGCTTTCAGTTATAAGAGTGATTAGAGAGATAACATAAAGACTGCGGTCACTGGCTTTTAGACTGCACATTTCACGACTACTGATGTTCAACGAGAAGGAATATAGACAAAGCAATAAGAAGGCGTAATTTCTTTGAATCGTGTAATGTGTATTTGTGCAACACATTTCGAACAATCTGATCCATCACACATGGACTTGTCACAGGAATACACATGTAGGAAATTAATAAAGAGTTAAGAGGTAAGAAAACAGACTACTTCGGTCAAGTTAAAAGGATATGTTCAATGTCAAAATAACAGTGAAGACTACTAAACCAAATAGCAGAGGTAATAGTTCATATACCGTGGCTGGTATCAAAACAAAATTTACCCAGAAAGGTTTAGTGTGATGACGAATTGTTCTTGATGGAAGCATAAAGGTGGTTTAAACTTCCTAAATGCAAACTAGGGCTTCCACAAACTTTAGAATACGCCCTCCCCCAAACACGTTTTATAGATAGGTTTAAAAGATGTGTTAACGTCAATATAATGTTCTATCTCTATAATATGTTTCACAATAGAGGAGCTAGGTCTCCTGTTCTCACCATTAATGGGTTCTGAAGATTCAATTTGTTTCTGGAGCCATTTAGGAAAAGGCTCTGGCCGTTGGTTTTCCTCTCATTTCCAAACCTATTGTGCAGCAAATGGATCCCAGCATCCGAACCAGCATCGAATAGCGTCTAGATCAGCTTTGGTCACCAGAAGCCAAGAGAATGTAACTCCTAACGTTGCTCCACTGTCATGTATCAAGACGAGACTTCAAATCAGACTTGCAGATGGGGTGGGGACCCTTAAGACAGCCTCTTCACATTCGATTTAGGCGTCTAGGCAGGAAGTCACCCAGCCGTCGTCGCACAAACTATAAGATTCTATGTGGTACAACTTCTGGCACCCATAGTGTGTTTTAATAATAGTAATAGTAATAATGCCCACCAGACGATTAACGAAGTGGGAGGCATAAAGATGATAATTGTAAGACAAGTGTTCAAAATGGCGAAAGCCGACAACATGCACTGTTATCAATAACATATCTTCTTTATAAAATTCAATGGAAAATACCTTCAGGTTTCAGCTCTGGTATCAGCACCCAACGACATATATCCAATATCGGATTTACATCAATATTATTCGGTTGACAAAAAGCCCGTTTGATTCGACGTTTCAATCCAGAGAGTGGAGATTTTTCAGTTGACCCTGGAACAGGTGGTTCAACCAAAGGGATGTAATTGTCTTCAGCTAAAGCTGCTAATGCTTTCGCTGACGCTGGACCTAGGCAACGAGATGCCAGTGGACATGATTTCATTGGAGGGCAGGTTAAAAGGCCAGTTTGATTGGGATTCACAGGTGCTTGAAGACAACACAGCATTGGATGAGTAAGGTGTAGAGCGCCAAGGGAATCGGGGAAGAGGCGCATAAACTGGAAATGAGACAAAAGAAAGAAAGAAACTAAACGGTAAGAATTTAATCAGCAAAAATAGATCGATGCAAAATGACAGCATATAAATTGTGTGGTTGCTGCCGATGGTTGTTGACTCTAACATTTCCATATGGTGATATATGCAAGACATTCGAAATCACCTTAGAAACATAACAGTCCAATCCCAGATAAGTTTGACCACGGATCGATACCACTTCGACAGCCATTGAAAACCAGGGGGTATGAGACACTTATTTCGTCCCAGTTTGTGACTCTTCATCAGTACACACTCATAATTTTGGATATCTAGGACCTAGGACCTTTAGGGCATGAGGCGATTTCGTTGGCTATTGGAACGGATTCCAAGTGACTCATCATCAGTTTTAACTAATATGGTTAGTTTGTCATTTTTCGCGCCATTGCTAGTCAAACTTGAAGTCCTACAGACTAACATTTGAAAACTTCGGGTAAGTCTTTCCATCACAGAAACTTTAGTGCATCAACTAGGCTAGCGTGGTCAGCGAATACACCGGGAAGTAACAGAACTGTTTAAAAAGTCTTCAGTTTTCTATCTACCCCTCTTGATTGAAGCGCGTACAATAAATTGTACGGTAAGATAATGAAGAAACACAGAGAAGGATTAATAACAATGAATGAAGAAGTGGGCATTTTAGTTTAGATTTCCGAGAATCAGAATTTAACCATATAATACTCCGTCTCCTTATCTACGGTAAACGTCAAGATGGTATTAAGGGCTTAAATATGTAGCTTATGCGAGTATTATGTTTTTTCTCTTCTGTTGGTTTTCCCAACCGCCACCCCCCCCCCACCATCCAGAACGAATCGATCAAAAAATACAAGATGGCCATCTCAGGCTCGACCTCATCAGTCGTGCTATATGTCTAGTGTGAATCAGCTCAGGCAGTTGAATCAGTCGAAACGACGCTCTTCCACCTAATCTAGACAGTATCAGTCAGATAGCAAGCGGTTCAGGATGTCAAAGGCAAGAGTAGAAAAGCAAAACAGACCTTCTTTACTCTGGAATCATGTAAGCGGTGTGCTGCACTCCGCGCATATTGAAAAAAACATTCAGATATTCCACAATAATGTCGAATCAGTGCTCCCACATGGTTCAAAGACCTGGTGCGTACACTGACTGACAAAAGAGTACTTCCAACAGACTACTCTGCAGGCTTTTACCCACAGTTGTCTATAACACTCCATACTGAAGATCAGATGGCCAACTTAGAAGGCGTCAGAAACACGGACAGACATGGCAGACAGCGAACCAATCAGGTGCCTATCGTTCAATAAATATGTAGAAGAGAAAATGGCGATGGATGGATGGATTGGATATGCCACTTTGGAAACCGCTGAGTGACATCACACACACACACACCAGATAGGCCCCAATAAGGAAAGATGATGTGGACATTCGAAGGTGTTCGATAATACAATCACTGACCAGTAAGCGCGCCCTGGGGTTTCCTAATTTCCATACGAAGCTCAGCTAGTTGCAAGATTTTAAAGAGTTAAAATAGGGACTCAAGTGGAATAAGTGTACATAAATCAACACACACACAAAATATTCAAAACAGTAAACTGTAACTTACTTTAGACTGAAATATTTGTCGTTTTTGTGTTCTCCGTGGACTAGCGATACGAATATCAACGCCGAGTTGTGTTGCATCGATTAAATCTAAACACGGCAACAGTAATTCACCCAATGAAGATCGAACAGACGATGATGATGCTGATGATAATGAAGAGTCGGCTGATATATCACCACTATCCAAAGTACCATTCATCAGTTGATTATTATTGTCGAATTCAGATAGTTCACTTGATATTAGACAATCTGTTTCGGGGACTAAACTTACTAAACGATAAAAATCTAACATGTATGCCCTGAAGAAAGACAAAAAACCGGGGGAAATTAATAGAAATACTTTATTTTTTACGAGTTGATCACGGATTGATATTGATCAGTTAGAGAACCATTGAAAACCACCACTGGAGTACTGGACAGTGAGAGCTGTTTCATTAGCCTAGCTTGGGAATCATCGGCAGTACGCACTCAAGCCGTGTGGTTCGAACCCAGGATCTTCTGGTTACAAGGCAAGCTAGCTCGTGTACCATTCAGCCATTGCGACTCTATTCACTGGCCAGCCCATGGATTCTAACTTCTACCAATTCGTGATTCAGCACACTTGACTGGATGGACCTCACTGGTCACGGCTTCTCACTAGGACTCAAGGAAACTCCATCCTGTAGCAAGAGTCACTAGCGAGCATCAGAGCCTGGTTCTCTAACTGATATCAATCCGCCGTCAAACTCGTAAAAACAAAACTAATCCTTACAAACCAAACTATAGAAAATTAATCTGATGCTCGCTAGTAACTGGCTACAGGATGGAGTTTCCTGGAGTTCTAGTGACAAGTAGTGACACCAGTGAGCATGCAGTTACCACCGATGACATTGGTTAGTGGTCGCGCCAAAAATCACGAATTGGTAGAAGTTAGAATTCATGCGCTGACTGGTCATTGAATCTGGTCCCAGTGGTTGAATGGTACACGAGCTAGCTTGCCTTGTAACCGGAAGGTCCTGGGTTCGAACACCGCAGTGTGGGTTCATACTACCGATGATTCCCAAACTAGGCTAATGAAACAGCTGTCCAGCACTCCGTGCTGGTTATCAATGGTTCTCTAACTGATCGATATCAATCCGTGATCAACTCGTAAAAACAAAACTAATCCTTATAAGCCAACTATAGAAAAGAAATACTTTATGATTAGTATTAAATTCAAACACAAACACTTTCAACATGGTGGGCACTAAGAGAAGCGCCACACAATACATCGCATAGCTTGTGTCTAGGCCGAAATAGGCGGATAATTTAAGGGACCATTACCCCACCCCACCCCATCGAGCCTTCGATTCGAAGTCTAAACCACACAGCAGTGGAGTAACCAATGGAGCTACTTTCCCATCGTGCGCATGACCAAAATAGGTGTATATGCGGTTCAATCCTTTCCTGTTCTGGAGTTTGGGATCAGGTTTTTCCAGGTCTCCTCAATAAACTTGTATGTCCACCAGTCTGGGGCTGTTGGTGCCAGACGTCCACAATAGCCACTCACAACCGCATGAAGGCAGTGATAAATAAATAATCGATCGATAACACAAAGTGAACAGTTGAGCTTGTATGTACACAAAAACTGAACAGCCTAGGCTGGAATGAACTAGATATCGGTGAAAGATAAAGTCAAAGTAAATAGAGCGCTACAGCTCTGTTTGTTTATGTTTTTAGAATTTTTAATATATTTGTGCGTTGAAGTTTCTGTAGCAATTTGGTTAAGTTTGAAAGAGGTTACTTCATTCACTTATCTAGGGAGCATTGTCTCAACTACAGGAGGAACGGACGAGGATGTCAAATCGAGAATCGGGAAGGCGAGAAACACATTCATCAACCTGAAACCAATCTGGAAATCTTCCACTGTCACTCAGCATCAACAACAAAATGATTCGGATTTTCAATACAAACGTCAAGTCAGTCAGTTCTTCTATACGGATGGATCAGAAACTTGGCCAGTGTGTCACAAAGAATATTTCCAACAGCCTGTTGCAGACCTTTATCAACAACTGTCTTCGCTCGATACTACTGAAGATCAGATGGCTGGAAAGAATCACCAACAAGAAGCTATGGGAAGAAACAAAACAAGAACCAATCGCCCAACAAATATGCAGGAGAAAGTGGAGATGGATTGGACACTCGCTGAGGAGGCCGCTGGGTGACATCGCGTGTCAGGCCAACGCTCGAGTGGAACCCGAAAGGGAATCGGCGAGTGGGACATCCAAGGGTGACATGGAGGAGATCGTGTGAAGAGGAGTTGAAACAGTATGGACTAACATGGATGCAAGTGAAAAGTACAGCAGAAGACAGAAGCAAGTGGAGACCTGTCGTTGAAGCCCTATGTTCCACTAGGAACCCAAGGGAACAAAAATAATAAATAATAATAATACAGCTCTGTTTAGAATGCTACTCAATATTTGGCTAAAAGCCACACTGCTTATTTGAGAATTTAAAAATACTACCCGAATGCCTATCCAAGCTGAAGTAGGTAAGAGCACAACTTAAAACCCTAAAACCCGTTGAGAATTTATCCTGAGTTGACATCCACATCACAGAGCCGGTGAAAATCGTGGAGGCATTTCAAAGGGAGTCTGTTTACTTAGTGACGCGTACATTATACACTTGAAACACCCTCAAAGTATCAATGTTAACAGAAGTCTTTAAATTCCATACAGCTGAAAGGTGATTGATTCCAGAAGTAGTGGATCAACAGGTGTACACGTGCGTACTGGTAATACAATACGCATACTCAACAATCATTTCTATCAGGTGGAATGTTAGTTAGACTTTGAAGTTGATAAGAAGAAAATTGTTAAACACCCATTCATAGAATCACTTAACGCTGGCAACGATTTCGCACTGCGCACAGTGGCATTGAACACAGGGGCTGAACGATACTCAAGAAAAACTGTTATAAAGACATTCTTGAAACTTATTTTATTCCTAAACGTTCCCCCCCCCAGTGGAACATAGGCGCTTCAAGCTAGAGCCTTGGGGATTCAGTAGCGGTGGTGTTTATATATTTACGCGATGGGGTTGCCAGCCTTATGCTAGCCCAACCTTCGATGATATTAGATAGTTGGAGGCTATCGGCCACAGGAAGCCTTGGATCTAGGTTTCGGCCTAGTAGGCACTCACCAGTCAGCAAGGCGTATCTGCAACCTTGAAGGAACTCATGCCCCTTCTGAGGAGATTCGAACCCGCGTCACCCAGTGCCACCTGCAGTCAGAGACGTTACCACTGAGCTATAAGCATAGAATAAAATTGGGCGCACTCAGGCATTGTAAACCCTACCTTTGACAGTCAGGTTGACGTCACGATGGTGTCTGAAATGGCTTACACTGAATATATGCTACTTAAACTTTCACTATACGCTTGGAGATTTCATCCGTCACATACCCGCCAGCACTCGCACACGCGTGACCACCTGAGAGCATTTCGAAAGAAAGACCAAAGTTTAGCCACCCTCCTCAGTTCTACCAGGTCGTTTATGCAGGGCGTGATTCACACCACATGAATAATCTTTGCAGGAGGTGAAGAAATAACAATCGACAGAGCTCGAGATTGCACAATCCCGAATACTACTAATTAGGATTCCAACTCGGGATTCGACTCAAACCTTGAAGCTTCCTTAGAAAATGGCTTTAATATTGCTTTAATATTGTTGTTAGAGATCACCAAGAATTCGCAACAGAGCTGCATTGTGGAACACCATCTCATTCACTGGGGGGGGATACAGATACATTCAACAGACGAGTCACAAAAGCGATACGAAATGCACATGCTCGACTCCATAAAAAAAGCAACTTACGAGCTTAATTGATAATCACTGCCAAGTAGACAAGAAAACCGATCCATACGACCATTGAGAGCAGAGAATAGACCGGTTAAAATTACACGACAAAATTCACCGCGTTGTTTAATCACATCCCATGTCAATGAACCGTGTAAATGAGCTGAGATATTGTTAATCAATACAATGATCTGTGTGTTTTTTAAACAGAAGTAAAGAAAACAAATAACATACAAAATTTCATAAAATTAACTAGTTTAATAGATAAAGATTACCAGGGTTAGATGAGGAAATGAGAAATATCAGGACTTCATCCTTAGCTGACATCGGTTAGAAAACCATTGGAAAACCAGCTGGAAGTAATACCAGAGAGTAATGCTTCGCCCTAGTTTGGGACTCTTCATCATCAGTACGCACCCACCACAAGGGTTCGAACCCAGGACCTTCCGGTTACAAATCGAGCTCGTAGAACCCCTGACGAAACAGTTGTGTCAGTACACCCGGGTTTCCCAACGGTTCCCTAACCAAAGTCAGCTCATGATGAAGTGCTGTAACCAATCAATCAAATCCCTACAAACCAATACTTGAGAGATATCAGTTAGAGAACTATTGAAAACTAGATAGTGTACTCGATAGATATCTTGTGTTAGTTTGGAACTATTCACTAGTAAACAATGACCCAAGCTCGCCTCACATAAAACCTGGCAGTAGTGTGTTCACTCCTGTGTGGGTCAGTGAAGTCGTTGGTGAGTAATGCTCAAGAGTACTACACTAGACCGAAACAGCCGTTACATTACACCGAGGTTTTCAACAATTCTCTGATTAATGAAAAAAAAACGTGGTTCAGCGGAGAGTCTCTTTTAGGCGGTGAATTCATTCACTTCTCTGTGCAATCACAATGTGCTGATATCAGTTAGAGAACCATTGGAAAACTACCACTGGAGTACTGCCATACAGCTGTTTCGTCCTAGTTTGGGATCTCTCATCAGTATGCACCCACACAGCAGGGTTTGAACCCAGGACCTTTAGGTTTCAAGGCGACCTAGCTCGTAGATCATTAAGCCACTGGGAACCGATCCAATGGCCAGCCCAAGAATTCTACCTTCTGCCAATTCACGATATAGCGCGACCACTTCGTAATGTCTTCGATGAGTATCCGTCCTCACCTTCGACCTGCTGGACCCTACTGGTCACCACTTCCCACTAGAACCTCAGGTCACAGGCTGAATAGGGCCAGTCGTTAGTGAGCATCAAACCAAGTGTTCAGTACTCCCCGATGTCAGCTCATGATGAAATCCTTCAACAAATCAAACAAAATCCCGACAGAACAATGCCTGAGAATATATATTAATGTTAATCAACACACAGAGAAAGTTGAATAAGCCTAATGGAGTTACGTAATAACACGAATAGTGTAATGAGTGAGTTGTGATTAGGATGCACATAGAAACAAAGGAAAATATGGAATTATGTAAGAGTTCTAAGACTTACAAATGTTATAAGGAGTTAGAAAAAACAAGCACACAAACATCAAGTCAGTAGAAGTTGACACTGTTGTTACCATGATAATAGAAGTAGTTGAATGACTTCTTTTTGTAAACATGTCTCTGGCTTTTCCAACTGAATGATTAAGGCTTCAGCAGTACAAAGGAGGAAGGTTATTCTCCACTTTGAAACAGGAGGCGTTTGTTGAGGCGGAATGACCAGTGTTGTTTGACGAGATGTTCGACTGTCGCATTCCTTATACACTCACTATTACCTTTTTTCAGCCATGCGGGATAGTGTTCTTGAACCCTTTTAGACAGCATACGCGTTGAACAACCGATGTACCTGACTGGCTTCACAGCAACAGGTGAACCGATATATGCACATAGAAGTAGCCAGATGAGGGATGTTGTCATTAAGGCTTTGGCAGATCAATGGGCGACTGGTGAACACTATTCATAGCGTTGTTGCGAAGAATATTCTTTTCAAAGATGCTGAAATTCTTCTCTTGGGGATATCGCCCCCTTGAAATCCAGATTCATATAAAATATCTTTTCTGAAACAAGTGATGTTTCGTTTTTCTGGACCTATATTGGTCTGACATTCTTGTCGGTGAATCTTGGTGGGTGTCAATTTTGGATGAAGGTTTCCCCAAAAAAATCTAATTTTGCTTTCAGGGCGTCAGGAATGCAGATGCATCGGATCCGAGTGGCAAGGGATTTAATCAGCTGTAGACTGAGGTCAATTTCACGATTTAACTTGCATCCCATCAACGAATTATCACGACAATTTTTTTGTCTTTAGCGTTAGTTTACAGGGATTCGATGGATTTTCATCTTGGTTTTGAACTTTATTAGGCTTGGATCAAAGTAAATACTAATGACTCATTGAGATGAGTAGTCGTAAACACCACACACACCACTCAATAGCAGACTGAGGAGATCTAAACACCGGAAGGCCAATTTTCTCGTCTGGGGTCGATCTTACCAGAGGTGTATCTAGTTCGATTCAGTTCAGAGAGCCGAATCAGTTCAACACACACACACACACACTCAGATTATTTTGATTGGACACTAGTAACTAGTGCGATGTGTGCCTAGTCCTTTCTATTTGGTGCAGACTGAATTCTATCAGTCAGTCAGGTTTGCAATGTGGCCACCATGCCACTAGCTAGCTCGTCATCACAGTGCACACTGATTTGATGATATTAGATAGTTGGAGGTGATCGGCAGGAAGCCTTGGACCTAGGTTTCGTGCTAGTTGGCACACATCAGCATGGCTTAATGGTCCATGAGCTAGCTAGCCTTGTAACCTGAAGGTCATGGCTTAAAACCCCGCGGTGTGGGTGCATACTGATGAAGAATCCCAAACTAGGAAGAAACAGCTGTATGGCAGTACTCCAGTGGTGGTTTTCCAATGGTTCTCTAACTGATATCAGTTCACCGTGATGAAATCCTCCAACTAATCAAACAAAATTTCCTACAAAGCCAATACGTGAAGATACTAAAGAGATGGTTTGTTTGGTTGGTTTTCAAAAAAGACGCAGCAGAGAATAAAGACAACTCACATAAACACCATCCAGATGTGATAAACGCGCCAGAGACCGCAGGGGAATTGAATGACCAAGATGTGGTAATCCAGACGGTGTAATTGACCATAAACATCGTAAACGATCAGTTTTAGTTAACCGTTCTTCCAATAGTGATTTACAACCCTAAAACAAACAACAAAAATAAATAAATATTAAATTGAAATTTAGATTTTCCTGTCGATTCATTGATTGGACCGATGTGCTCGGCCTCAGGTTGACATGTCGGCTTCTTGTGCAGATGCTTCGACGATGTCTGGGCATGTAATTAGAAGTTAATTGGTGGATGGTGACTAGTGTCTAGTGGATAACGCTTTGGCGTTTGAAACTATGGGCACTGGGTTCGAGCCTCGGTGGGGACATCATCACTCACTCACCGAGGAATGCAGGTACATCCAGATGACGAGTCCCAAATAGGACGAAATTCGCGTTCTCCTGGATTCCACTGCTAGTCATCATCCACAAATTAAATAAATAAATAATTTACAAAATAAGTAAAAGTAAACAAGTGGTGTTGTATACTAATGGGTGAATGAAAAAATATTTTATTGTCTGAGAGTGATTCAGTGGTAAAATATACTCACCAACCACGAATTCATGTTCTGGGGTTCGACTCCCGGTCGATCCGCTTCTAAACCTCCACTAGCTGAGATTATTATTATTCCTACTCGGCTTTGTAACAGTAGAAAACGAAAGACTTGGTAAAGGAATATTCATTTGGAAACAGGTATCTCTTTATATACCCAAATTATGTACACCTTATCTTCAAAGCACTACTTGCACAGATCTTCGTGTTGTAGTACTTCTGCCTTTCATATTGTGTTTCTTTGTGTTCCTTTCACACGTCGTCTCCCGTGAATCTCCACAACGCTGTACTATTTGCCTTCTCTGACATCAAATGTATCTCCTTGATATTTGATGTTTTTATGCTGATAAATGTCTCTTTATATACTACTGATAAATCGTATCAGTAGCACTCGCCACACCTTGGATTCCGAGCGGAACATACGTTTTCAATAATAAAAATAACAACAACAAAAAATATTTCTGTGCAACTGGATTCATTTATCTGGATGGGATCGCTGGCCCCACACACATCTGATGTTTCCTATTTCTCCGGTCTTAGGGTCGTAACTAGTAAACTAGGCGACAGCAAGCCCAGAAAGGAGAGGATGATGGTAGCACAATCCAATCCCATGAAACCACCATGACCAGTACTCTGAGTGAAACTTCAAAATTTTCAAGCGCAATGTTCCACTCGGAATGTAAGGAATGAGGGAAAAGTTCACCTGGCTTAAGCAATCGATTTACAGACAACTTCCACGTTTCGAGCCCTGCTTCACCTAACTCAGCTTAAGCAACTAATTGGTATATAATAGAATTTTAGATTTTCCCGTCGATTGGTTGGATCAAAATGCAGGTACGTCCAGATGACAAGTCCCAAATAGGACGAAATGTGCATCCAGGATTCCACTGCTAGTCACCATCCACAAATTAACTAATTGGTAGTTTTAATATATGTGTAAAACTTGGACACTGTGTTAATATGCAATTCCATATTAGTTTGCTTATGAGCTATATCACACAGTCTGTGAAACAGTATTATTTACTGGATGACACAGTTTCGAACACAATTGCTTATTGTTCATAATCACATCAATTATAGTGACACGACCTCAAAACTTGAGTTTTATAGTTTTCTTTATTCTTTCTTATGTGTTGTGGGACGATATGCATGTCAAACCTGAGCAGGATAATGACAACACCAACAATAGGAAAAATAAATCATCAATAGTACTACCATAACGACAGAAGACAAGGGCCACGCAACAGATCGTTTCTATAGAAAACCAAGAGGTATTTACAGATTTTTATGTACATTATTATTGACGTTATTGTTAGCGGAGAAACAGCGTCTTCTGACTGGTCGTTTTCTTGTTGAAGGCTATTCTGTCATCTCTTTGTGGTCGTTTCTCAGAATAACAAGCCATGTATCTGTGAATCATATTTCCACACACTTTAACTCTGCTGTGATTGGCTGGTGATTTTCTCAAGGGTAAGCCTTGTTATTGTTTTTCTCATGACCCTGATTCAGGATGTGAACATTGACGTAAATTGTTGTCTACAATTTCGGTTTGCAGACAGCTCTCACCATACTTCCATACAAAGAAGGAACCTCGGAAACCTTAAGCAGAATTCTTAACAAGGCAGGCAGGAATAAAAGTGGCTGGCATTCAAGCCACCCACAAACTCAATTAAAAACAAGCTTTGTCGGTTAACGGATCAATCCTGTGGAGCCTTTAAAACAAAACAGTTTAGTTTATCCAATACCCGCCTGCAATGATTGCCAGGTTAAATACACAGGTCGAAGTAGTAGAACAGGTGTAGTCAGACTAGCCGAACATAAAAATCTAGCAGCAAAATCTAGATTAGTTGACCTTAATAAGATAAGACATCTGGGGAATAGTTCAGCTATACCAGTCACCACATGCAATGACACACAACCAAGCATACAATAGGATGAAATAAGATAAGTTTTAAAATCTAATGTCACAGGGTGGAGGGAGAGATTGATAACAGAAGCTTTGTTTATCGAGTCAACTGATGAGAATACGTGTAATAGGAATGATTCAACACCTGTCCAGTCGGACATCTGGAAAATTCTACTACCCCTACGACGACGAATAGGAAAGAATAAAGAAAATTATAAAACTCAAGTTTCGAAGTCGTATGATCACCACTGATGATATGATTATGAACAATAAATTTCGTTCGAAACGTCATCCAGTAAATAATATTGTTTCACAGACTGTGTGGTATATGTAATAAACAAATTAATATGGAATTAGTAGTTTTCCACAACAAATGTATATGAAAAGTCGGATCCCGACAACTGATCACAATCGACTTGTTATTTTATGAAATTTTATGTCTATTAATGGGCAACAAATTAATGGCCCGAGTAGCTGAACGGATACAGCTTTAGCGTTGCAAACAATGGGTGCAACGTACACACGTCTCAGTGGGAACACCCTAACTCATTTGAAATTGCACGTACATCCAGATGACGAGTCCAAAATAGGACGAAATGCTCATACTGGATTCCAGTGCTAATCACTATCCAACAACAATAACATAATGCATCTGAGTTTAGGAATTAAACCCGCATCGCTGAGTTCCTTAACCAATGAATTAATTAGATACTGAAATCGAAGCTTTTCTCTGCTCGTCACTAATTATTCATGTATCAATCAACTTGCTTTAGTTGTTTACACATGTCATTAGCTTAGCACATCAGCTCTACCCTTCACATCTTCAATCCCTGATATTACATCATTCAACTTCAGCTTCATATTATAACTGAGCGTCGGTGGCACAGCGGTTAGGATGTTCGCTGACCATGTACATGGATCTGGGTTCGATCTCCGGCCACCGACGCACTCTTTTACCTCACTGAGCCAGAAATGAAAACGCTGGTAAGGAGGAAAGGTTGGGTATGAGGCTGGATGGCAACCCCATCCTGTAAAAATAGTCACTACTGCTGCAGAAACTTCAAGCCTCTAGCTTGAAGAAGCCCTATGTTCCACTGGGAACGTGAAGGAATAAAACATTAAACATCATATCTGTGTCGATAGATGTCAGGTTGGAAAGAGAGTAAGCGGTTGTTGGTCAAACCAATAATCTGGGATCAATACAACAAGTGTTTGACAATTGGCATTTGAGTCAGACATGTAGAAAGGTGTAGACTACAATCTGGTTGGATTCCTCAGAATCCTAAGAACCGATAATGGTTTGAGACTGTTGGTGAGATATGGTTGAAAATTATTCACTCTTCGTGATAATAAGTCAAATATTAATCATGAATCATTGTTCCCCCTTCTAAATAAAAACCTAATGAAAACAGATACTCAATGTTAGGCTACTGACTGGCTGGCTGGTTTCAATGTAGAACTATTCACTGATGTGCACCAGTTCAAGTCGCCACACTCCATGTACCACACAAAGCAAGAAAAGAAAGTAGAAGAAATGCATAATAGAGACAGTAGACAGGGATATGAGACAAAAGGAATAGTAATAACCAAGAGCAATATAGTTTCACTAGAAAGTACAAGTCACAAGGAGTGGATGCATCTGCGCCAGCCATTGAGAACGAGGATTTTGAGCCATATAACCGATTGTATCCAGACTTCATTGGTTTTTACCGTCCTGAGGACCCCAACCAGTCAGGAAGCCAGTTTACACCCCCCTACGTGTCTGGCTGGCTGGCTTAAACTGTTTTGGATTTCATTGACTGATGAAGCCATGTTTTGGTTTGACCGCTATTAGCTCTTTTCCAACTTCACCCTATGTTAGCCAACATTGTCCGTCTGTCGAGGAAGGCGATGGCTAGGCATATTACGCTAGATTAACGGTGGTTCACAGTTAGGCAGGGAATCCTCGCCGACCTACCACGCGGGAAGTGGGTCACAGCTCGGTAGCTGGCGGCCAACAGACTCACTCCTAAGCCTCACTGAACCGGTAGTAGTGTAACGACAGAAGACAAGAGTCAGGCAACAGATATTTATAGATTTTTATGTACAATATTATTCGTTATTGTTAACAGAGAAACAGCGTCTTCTGATTGGTTGTTTTCCTGCTGAAGGTTATTCTGCCGTCTCTTTGTTGCCGTTTCTTAGACAATCCGTTGACATATATCTGCTAATCGTATCCGCCCACGCAAAGTCCGCTGTGATTGGTTGTTGAGTTAGTCTTTGTTCTTGTTTTTTTTCTCATGACCAATTTTGGTTAGCAGACAGCTCTCACCACAGTAGTAAGTTTGGTAAAAAAGAGGAGGAGTTTGGTGTAACGGTGACAGCCCCACCCCATAGGAAATTAACACCAGTGGTACTGAAACTTCAAAGCGCTATGTTCCACTCAAAACGTAAAGAAAAACACAAGAAATATTGAAGACTTACCACGAATTCATTTTCAAATGCCGTTAACAGAGCAGATTTATCAGAAATCTTGGGAATATGATTAATTCTCTCATCGATCTCTTGTAAGACAGTAGGCTTTTTATCTGTGAACATTGTCATCTCATCATGGCCGGCTAAAAGAAAATTAAATGAAATTATCAAATACAGAAAGGCTGAAACAATCAAAATGGTGTTAGATGATGCTTAGATGGAGGCATTCGGTGGGACGTCATGTCTGTCTTAGGTTCCAGGCTTGTTGGCACCTGTTAGTAAAGTGTATCTCCAAACTCGAGGAGACCTTTGTCCCACCTCCCGGACTATTATTCGAACTCACGTCACCTAATGCAATGGTGGTCAGAGACGTTATCATATAATGAATAACTGATCACTTAGGCGTAAACAATCTCATGCGTCTAGTATGGTATATGCTTTGCGCCGTCTAAGTGCAAAGCATTGTTACAAGATTGGCAGGAGTCTGTACCTGCACTCACTCTTGCGGGTGAACGACTTGAAGTTGTTGATAAGTTTGTGTATCTGGGTAGTTGTGTGAGTGCTGGCGGAGGGGTGACGGATGAGATTTCCAACCGTATTATGAAGGCTAGGGTGGCATACATCAACTTGAGCCACCTCTGGCGCCGTCGCGACCAGCCTGGCTGTCAAAGGTCGAGTATACAATGCTTCGGTGCGGGCTGTCTTACTCTACGCCTGTGAAACCTGGCCTCTCCAAGCTAGGGATGTGAGGCGACTCTGTGTGTTCGATCGTCGCTGTCTCCGCAGGATTGCTTGCGTTCGATGGCATCATTGCGTGAGTAATTCTGAGGATCGTCGGCGTGTGTTTGAACACAGTGGAGATTACCATTCACTGAGTGTCGTCATCCGGAAACACCGGCTCTGGTGGCCTGGATATGTGCTGAGGATGTCATCCTAGAGGCTTCCGTATAGGTCTCTGTTCGCTAGCCAGCCCTGGAACCGGATGGAAAAGATGGAGGGGTGGTCAGTCCATGACGTGGCGTCGTGGGATGAAGGATATTTGTGCTAGATTAGCATCAGTTGGTGCGTCACGACTCCCTGGTTGGAGTCCGAAAGATAGCTCGAAACGTTATCGGATATGGCCAAGAATCGTAATCAATGGCAAACGTGTTGCAATTTCCTTCTTTCTTCTTTTCCTGATGATAGTTGACGAATACTGTTTGAACTTGTTAAGTATGACTGTTTTCCTTCCAGATGAAGTTCTTTATCCGTTCTCTACTTATATTTTTCCCTTTAATCTATGTCGTTTTATTATTATTATTGTGTGCCGCATCTTCTTGGTGTCATATTGTAACAAGTTTTTTTAGCGTCTAGTCTAGGGAAAAGTATACAACTGTTCAGTCTGATTCACTCGCTAACATTTACTGTGTTCAAGTGTCCTTCAATACTCTGTCTCAGTGCTGTTACAAGACAACTACAGTAATCATGTTCATTTCTGTTGTGCATTACAAGTAAAACCAGAGCAGGACTACAGTTCTTCATTATTATTATTATTATTGGTCCCTTGGGATCCTAGTGGAACATAGGGCTTCAAATGCACGTCTCCACTTGCTTCTGTCTTCTGCCGTACTTTTCACCTGCATCCATGTTAGTCCATACTGTTTCAACTCCTCTTCACACGACCTCCTCTATGTCACCCTTGGACGTCACACTCACCGCTTCCCTTGCGGGTTCCACTCCAGCAATGGCCTGACGCGCGATGTCACCCAGTGGCCTCCTCAGCGAGTGTCCAATCCATCTCCACTTTCTCCTGCATATTTGTTGCTGGGCGATTGGTTCTTGGTTTGTTTGTTCCCATAGTTTCTTGTTGGTGATTCTTTCCGGCGGCCATCTGATCTTCAGTATAGAGCGAAGACAGTTGTTGTTGATAAAGGTCTGCAACAGGCTGTTGGAAATAAATATTCTTTGTGACCCGCCAAGTTTCTGATCAATCCGTATAGAAGAACTGACTGACTTGACGTTTGTATTGAAAATCCGAATTTCGTTGTTGATGCTGAGTGACGAAGATTTCCAGATTGGTTTCAGGTTGATGAATGTGTTTCTCGCCTTCCCGATTCTCGATTTGACATCCTCGTCCGTTCTTCCTGTAGTTGAGACAATGCTCCCTAGATAAGTGAATGAAGTAACCTTTTTCAAATCCCTCCCGTTGATGGTGATTGGCGCTGGATGTTGCTGTTGTTGTTGTTGTTGTTGGTTGGTTGGTTATTTTCATAACCTCCGTCTTGTCTATGTTCACCTGGAGTCCTGTCTTCTCTGGCTGCTTCTTCGACCAGTTTGTTGGTCGGTTTTCGCTTGTAAGTCTTCGATTTTGTGTGACATCAAACATAAATCATCCGCGAAATCCAGGTCTTCTAGGTTCTTCACGTCTGTCCAGGATATCCTTGTCTTCTCGTTTCTCACTGTCTGACGCATAATCTAGTCCACCACAATTAGGAATATCATTGGTGATAATAAGCACCCTTGTCTGACTCCTGTGTTTACTCCAAAAGCCTCGCTGAGTTTTCCTTTGTGGATCACTTGACATGTGCCGTTGTCGTACGGCTGTTGAATAAGGTTGATGAATATTTGGGGTACATACAGTTCTTCTTTGCACATCGTTTACTCATAGACACACTGATATAGTGTTGTAGATTTGGCACTAACTAACCGCGTCTCCCCTTCACCGCCGTCGCCAATACGTAGGGGATATTCTACATAAATGCAGCTACAATTCAGTTGTAGTAGGATGTTTTCAGAAGACCTCCTAACTCAGTGCAACCCGCCACATTCGAATCATACTGCATGCACTAACTGTATGCGAAACTGTAAGTGGACTCCTCAAAATTCGACAATGACTTGGGGAAAAAACCTAAAAGCCGTCTCGCTTCAACTATCGTTGTCTGTTTTTGAACATAGATGTTTACGATCTCTTTCTCACGTTAGGTGGCATAATAGGGTAAGTAATGTTGACGATGTTAGGCGTAGAGTGTTAGGCAAAGAGGGAAAATCAATCGACCAGGCTATAAAGTTACATAGATTGAGATGACTAGGTCACGTGCTGCGCATGCCTAACCATCGGCCTCCCCCCGACGAGCATTACTAGCTGAAATAGGTGCAGGTTGGAAAAGAGTAAGTGGTGGCCAAACAGAAACATGGCTTCATCAATCCATGAAATCCTTGACAGTTAAACTGAGTCAAGCAGGGAGATGCAGACTTCCGGGTTGGGACCCTCGGGACCCTAAGAACCAATGGCTGGAGACAATAGGTGACATGGCTCAAAATCGTTGTCAGTGGCTCCTGTCTACCCTTCACTAGATACTGAAGATTAGCTGGGAGGGATAAGCAATAAGAAACTCTGACAACCAACCAATCTATCACAAAGAACCTATTACTGAACAAATATGCTCAATGAAATAGAGACCGTTGAATGACATCACACACTACGCCGTAGAACAGAACTCGAATAGGAAGAGAACAATGAGTTGGGTGTGGATTCAAGGGTGACATGGAGGAAAAACTGTGATTCCATATTAGTTTGTTTATTAGATGTATCACACAGCGAAACAGTATTATTTACTGGATGACAGTTTCGAACACAAATGCTTATCGTTCATAATCATATCATCAATTATAATCACATAACTTCGAAACTTGAGTTTCATAGTTTTCTTGATTCTTTCCTAGTCGTCGTCATAGGAGTAGTAGAATTCTCTAGATGTTCAACTGGACAAGTGTTGAATCATTCCTATTACATGTATTTGCCTCAGTTGATTTAATAAACAAAGCTTCCCTTATCAATCTCTCCCTTCACCCTGCAGTTACATTAGATTTTAGAACTGTCATCTTATTCCATCCTATTGTATGCTTGGTTGTGTGTTATTGCATGTGGTGAGTGGTATGGCTGAACTATTCTCCAAATGTCTTATCTTATTCGGGTCAACTAATGTAGATTTTGCTGCTAGGGTTTTGTGCTCCACTTGTCTGACTGACTGCCTGCACTTGTTCTACTACTTTGACCCATGTATTTGACCCGACAATCATTGCAGACAAGGTATGTTAGATTAATTATTATTAATATTATTATTAATATAATAATAATATTTATAACGACATACATGTCAAACATGCGCACGATAATGACAACACGAACAATAAGGAATCTAAATCATCAGTAATAATTCCATAGAAGGAAGGAACCTCGGAAACCTGACGCAGAATTCTTAATAAGGCAGGAATGAAAGTGGTTGGCATTCAAGCTGCCGACAAACTCAATTAAAAACAAGCTTTTTCAGTAAACGGATCAATTCCGTGAAGCCTTTAAAATAAAACAATTTAGTTCATCTAATACCCCGCCTGCAATGATTGTCAGGTCAAATACATTGATCAAAGTAGTAGAACAGGTGCAGTCGGACTAGCTGAGCATAAAAACCTGGCAGCGAAATCTAGATTGGTTGACCCAAATAAGATAAGAAATCTAGAGAATAGTTAAGCTATAGCACTCACTACATGCAATTGCACACAACCATACAATAGGATAGATGGGATAAGATGACAGTTTTAAAATCTAATGTCACAGCATGGTGGAGGGAGAGATTGATAGTGGAAGCTGTATTTGTCAAATCAACTGTAAACACATGTAATAGGAATGATTCAACACCTATCCAGTCGGATATCTGGATAATTCTACTACCCCTACGACGACGACAAACAGGAAAGAACAAAGAAAACTATAAGACTCAAGTTTCGAAGTCGTGTGATTATAATTGATGTGATATGATTATGAAACGCTAAGCAATTATTTCGAAAATGTGTCATCCAGTGAACAATAATAACACTGTTTCCCAGACTGTGTGTGTGATATATATCTAATAAACAAACTAATATGGAATTACTTACCACCACAGCGCCCAAGTTTTAGACATACATCTATTAAGAAAGAGTGTAACGATGAAATCAGAGCAGCTTACAGGCAATCATGGAACCAGCTAAGGAGCCAGTTAAGAAAGACTGAAGTATAGCCCTTAATACGTTTAACCCTACTCCAAAATATGCTGAAGATATATGTGGATGACACTGTCACTGTGTTAAAAACAGAATATATCTCTAGCTTCTTCACACACATATAAACTCACTAGTAGAGGGAATAAAATTCACATTTGAATCGGAAAATCAACAAGGAGAATTAGCTGTGGTGCTAGATTGTAAAATAAAACGAACATAAGAAGGCAAAGGGAACACTAGTGGTGTTTATAAAAAGTCAAAGCATTCTGCTAATAGATATTTAAACTTTAATTCGTCTCATCCGTTAACTGTTAAGGCAGGCTGAGTCAAGTGTTTAACAAACCAAGCAATGGCACTAAGTAGCACAAAAAAAGACCTAAATGATGAAATGAAAGAGATAGAAGAGACGTTTGTGTTAAATAACTAACTGTCTTCTAAAATTCATTAGGAAGATCGAAAAAGCCAAAAGCAAAATAAAAATAATTGTGAAACTAGTAGTGATAACATAAATAAGAGATGATATAAGTCATCTACTGTTATACTATATAAGGAGGGGACATCTGAGACACTCCCTACGTAAGATTCTTAATAAAGCAGGAATTAGGGTGGTGGCATTCAAACCTACAAACTCACTCAGATAGGACAAGCTCTGTAGGTTAAAAGACCCGGTGGATCTAATTAAACAAAATAATATAATTTACAAAATACCCTGCAATGACTGTGAGGTCAACTACATAGGTCAAACTAGTAGATCGGTGGTAATCAGATTGGCGGAACATGAGAATTTGGCTTAAGTAAGAATGGTTGACCCCGAGAAGATAAGTTATTTAGGAAAAAGCTCAGCTATTGCACTACATGCATTGACACACAATCACGTAATAGAGTGGGAGAGGGTTAAGGTCCTAAGAAGTAATCTATGTACGCGGAGAGAGACAAAGGTTGATTACTGAATCCTGGTTCATTGAGTCTACACCCAACACATGCAACAGAAATGTCTCAATGCAAATACCAGTGATAAGGAAGATATTATTACCACCAGTCAGTCAAATCAGAGGAGGATAATAAATAATCTCAAAATTCTATTTCAATTCAAGCACATCACAACATCCTAACAAGTTACTTATTGTGACTATAAAAACAATCGTCTTATTTCCCATCTGATTTTAATTGATCAATAACACTCATATTATTACTATTTCTGAATATACATTATCCTATAGTGATTTTTATTCAAATATCTAGTCAATTCCATATATATATATATATAAATGAACGAAAAAAGTTGTGTGAGTAGTGACGTGATATGATTATGAGCGGCAATAATTTGTGCTCGAAACGTGGTCATCAGTTAATATTACTGTATAACACTGTGTGATTTATCAAAATAAAATCTTATCCATAATGGAGTTACTGAAGTGAACAGTTTGACTAGAAAGTAAGTACTCTGGAAAAAAAGAGACACACAAAGAGAAAATGAACTCACCAGAATTACTGAATGCCTTATCATCTGTTGGATAGGCATCATGGACAAGTTTTTGAAGGCTAGGATCTTTAAAATCATTTTGAACAGTTTCCAATAGACCATTCAAGCATTCAGCTACAATGGATCGAAGAGAATCAGCCGGGATTTTATTGGCAAGATAATCTTTTTCCACTTGAGAATAATCAAAGTATGGTTTTGGAGTTCGAGGGATCGATAATCCTGAAAAGTGGTAAAAAAGAATATGTATGATACACGACAGAAGGAGAAAAGGCACTTTACTTATATAAAATAAACTGTGTATCCTTTAGGCGTTACCAGTCTATGAGATTACTACAGCTTTGCGATTAGAACTTGACGAATTGTGTGTGTGTGTGTGCGTGTTAGGCTGAAATTTACGTAAGATGCTCTAAAGCTTTTCAACTGTTTTTCAGAGAAACAGATGGAATATTGTCTGTAAGGTCAATCCTCTGTTTTCCGAGTGGAACATAGGGCTTCAAGCTTGAGCATTGACGTTTCAGCAGTAGCAGCAGTGGTGTATTTTGAAAGGGGTGGGGGTTGCTACCCTCACGTTCAAAGCCTTCCCTCTCTCAACCGGGGTTCACACTACTGCCGGCTAAGTGAGGGTTAGTAATGTGCCAGTCAGAGGAATCGAACCCTGGTGGGCATCCTAACGGCAAACCACTGATGCAGATGTCATTCTTATAACCCGTTCGTCTGTCTGTCTGGATTCAACATAGAACTTGGCACCAAAGTGCAGCAGTTCGAGTTGCCACGTTCCAAAGAGCACACAAAAAGGTAGACAAGAAAATGAGTGAAGAGAATCAATAGAGTTTTGACAGGTATAAGAGTTAAACAGAATGAGTAATGGTAGAAAGGAATATGAAAGATTACAGAGACTGAATACATCTGCGTAAGCCATTGACAACGATTTTGAGCCATGTCACCTAGTGTCTCCAGCCATTGATTCTTAGGGTCCCTACCTGATTCAGTTTAACTGTCAAGGATTTCATGGATTGATGAGGCCATGTTTTTGTTTGGTCACCACTTACTCTTTTCTAACCTGCACCTATATCAGCTAGTAATGCCCGTCGGGGGGAGGCGTTGGCTAGGCATGCGCACCATGTGACCTAGCCATCTCAATCTACGTAACTTTATAGCCTCTTCGATTGATTTTCCCTCTTTGCCCAACACTCTACGCCTAACGTCAACATTACTTACCTTATTATGCCGCCTAACGTGAGAAAGAGATCTATGATCAAAAACCCGTTCGTAATAGTGTGCACTAAACAATCAGTCGTGCATTAGTGGCACAGCGGTAGAATGCTCACCAACGACGCAGGTGGTTCGAGGTTCCACACCCGGCCGACGGCGTACTCCTTTACCTCACCCAAACCCGTGAAAAATAAAACCATTGCTTCTGAAACTTCACGGCTCTAGTTTGAAGCCTTACGTTCCATTAGGAATGTGAAGGAATAAAAACAACAATCAGTCACACATACTAAGTGAATAGTGATAATAAGTAGATGACTACAAGTTCAACTACTGGTTGGAAATCAGTTAGCCGCAAAATAGTATTATCATTAGAAAGCAAACACCATACATTATGAACACTAAAAGATGCGGAGATGAACATTGGCACACGCTTAGGGGGAGGGACCACCAGTGAGTGACAATTACGTTCGAATAGAACCCGAATGGAAAACGACCAGTTGGGGATGTCGGTCGATCCAAGGGTGACATGGAGGTGTCTATGTGATGAGGAGATGAAAGCTGATGAGCCAGCTTATAGAGCCAGCTACAAAGAGGACTGTGAGGGAGAACTGCAGGAAATGGGAGTGTTCTGTCGAAGACTTGGGTTCCATTCGAAACTCAAAAAAATAATCATTATTATTATGCTCCTGTCCATCCCAAGCAAAATACTAAGCCGCATCATCCTGGAGATAATCAAACACGCGACCCTGGGTGAAAACTTCTACCGGAATAGACTGGATTCAGGAGGAACAAGTCATGCATCGATCAAATCGCAACAGAGCTTTGAATAGCAGTCAGCTCTCTATCTCAACTTCACTGACTTTGAAAAGGCCTTCGACAGCGCAGCGTCGATCGAGAGGTGATTAAGCAACTACTTAGCTACTACAAGGTGCCGCCAGCAATTATACATCTCAGCCATCCAACAGTTGTACGACAAGGCTGCATGCCAAGTAATCCACAATAGGGAAACTCACGGAATCCTTCGAAGAAGTGAAGACAGGAGTAAGACAAGGCTGGCTGGCTGCCTGCCTGCCTACTATCTCCAATGGTTTTCCTGATTGATGGCGGTAGACTGGATAATGTGACAGACAGCGGGCAATGAGAAGGCAGGCATAAAATGGACCCACACAAACAACTTGGAGGATCTGGACTTCACCGATGATATATAGATGTCAGACTTCTCACGAACTCGAAGATATGCAAGTGAAAAGCAACAAGTTGGCAATAGAAGAAACATCGAAGATAGAAATTCTTTCAGGTGACAGACCCCAATCAGCCAGCATAAATGGGAGGGATCTGAAAGAAGCAACCTCTTTCACCTAACTACCTACCTGTGAAGCATCATTTCAACTACAGGTCGACGGAACTGGTGAAGATATGAAACCAAGGATGGGGAAAGTAAGACAAGATTTCATTACTTTCAAGTCTGTGTGGAAGTCAACACTCAGTACTCAGAATGAAAAATAAGATCCGGATTTTCAGCTCCAATGTGAAGTCAGTGCTACTCACGTTACGGACCAGGAGCTTGGCGCCACATCACGAAGAGCACTTAGAACAAACTACACACCTTCATCAACAGCCGTCTTCACTCAATACTACTCAGGATCAGATGGCCGGCCAGAAAAGATGAGTAACAGGGAGGGATCGCTAACAATGAGCGAACCAACCCAGAAGGGACCGATTGTGCAACAAATATGCAGGAAGAAATGGAGGTGGATTGGCTGGCCATACTCTGAGAGAACAAATCATCAAGTGAGTGACATCACACGCTAGGCGATTGCTCGAGTGGAACCCGAATGGGAAGCGGCAAGTTGGTAGTTAGTGCGAGGGTGACATGGAAGAGGAGGTCATGCGAAGAGGAGATGAAAGCATGCATGTGGGAAGACGTGGAGCCAGGTGATGAAAACGTTATCAGAGAACCGAACGCAATGGAGATGTGCGGATGAAGCCCTATGTTCATCTAGGAACTAAACGAAACAATAATAATACCTGGAACAGATTTTTAGAAATGAGGCGCCTATCGTGAAGTTATATTGTATGATGGTTGCTAAAACCACCCCCAGTTAACGGTTCTAAATTAGACAGAGTGGGATTCGGATCGTGAACTCTGCTAGTTGACGGTCGACGGAATAAAGTCAGTGAGCCACTGCCGCATCTCTATTTCCCTTACCTCCCCTTCCCCACCCCTAGATGTTAACAACGAAGTAGTGTCCCTCATTATTGAACGCAGAGGTATATATGCAGAGATTACGTAACTCCGTCTGAATATATATTTCTCCATCAAAGTGTCAAATATTAAGACGATTAAAAGGTTAAAAAACAACGACAAGCAGAAGAAGAAACCAAGCATGAGAATTTACCTGTTCTTTTTGGAACTAAAGGGAATATGACATATTTTAAAAAGGCCAATACACCATTGCCTTGTTCAGCTGTCATATTCGGCGGACAAATAGATGAAGCCAATTTATTACTAACTGAATTCGGTGGATCTAATAAATCGATTTTTGAATCAGCTTCAGAGGAAGACATTTTCCCACCAGTTAATCCTGGAACCATTGGATTCATCAAATGAACTCTTTTCTTATGTCCAAGATGAGGTAGATACTATTAAAAGATAATAAGAATAAATAATAATAACAGCAATGCAATGATGGGGAGGAAAAAATGAACGAGTTGAAAAAATGCAGTTGTATCAATTTTACGGGGGTGGGATTGTTAGCCTTACCATAGGGAGTGAAGTGGTGGCTAAGCGTGTTGACTGCTTCACTTATTTAGAGAGTTGCATCAGCCAACGCGCCAGCTGGTTGATTGCTGACTGTCGACCAAAGGGTGTGTGGTGTGTACTGCTCAGCAGTTCATTCTGTCCTCCTTTATGACTGTGAGTGAAACATGACTGATATTGAAAGTATTATTATTATTGTATCCTTTAATTCCTTGAGGAACATAGGGCTTCAACCGCACGTCTCCATTGCGTTCGGTTCTCTGCTAGAGTCTTCACCTGGCTCCAAGTCTGCCCACATGCATGCTTTCATCTCCTCTTCACATGACCTCCTCCATGTCACTCTCGCACTGACGACTAACTCGCCGCTTCCCATTCGGTCGGGTTCCACTCTAGGGCTTGTCTTGTGATGTCACTTGATGGCTTGTTTCCTCAGAGTATGGCCAATCCATCTCCATTTCTTCCTGCCTAATTGTTTCACAATTGGTTCCTGGTTGGTTCGCTCCCAGAGATCTCTGTTGCTGATCTTTTCTCAGAAAAGATCAGCAACAGAGAAAAAATACGAAAGAGACGAAAAGACGAAAAGACTAGCTAGCTATATATCATCATATATGTCTTCGTTCTACCTCCTGGATGAAGTGGTATAATAAAGTGGGCAACTTTACGGTGAGGCATCGGTCAAGTGGTAGGTAGGTGGGAGGGAAAATCAATCGACGAAGTTGTGAAGCAGCTGCTTCGATTTAAATGGTTAGGACATGTGTTACACGCATGCATGCCTAGCCATCACCTTCTTCGACGACAGGCAATGTTAGCTGACATGGGGTCAGGTTGGAAAAGAGTTAGCCAGTGGTTGTCAGACGAAAACATGGCTTCATCAATCAATGAAATCCACAATAGTTAGTTTAAGCCAGCCTTCCAGACACGTAGGGAGGTGTAGACTGGCTTCCTGACTGGTTGAGGTCCTCGGGATGGTAAAAACCAATGAAGTCTGGAGACAGTTGGTGATGTGGTTGGCTCAGAGTTGTTCTCAATGGTTCCCTTTGATGCATCCACTTTTTGTGATTTGTCAGATCCAATAAAACTCTATTGATCTTTCATATTACTCTTCTTTTTGACTCGTATTTCTGTTTATTATCTCTCTCTCTTTCTCTCTTGAATCTCTCTGTACTCTCTTCTCTTGCTTTGTGCGCTACATGAAGGGAGTGCGGTAACTGGAACTGGTGCACTTCAGTGCAAAGCTCCACGATGAAACCAATCAGTCAGTAACTTAGCTAGGCGTAGTGTTACGTGGCAAAGTGGGAAAATCAGTCGATTAAATTGTGAAGGTATACCGATTGAAATGGCCAGAACATCATTTTTGCTTGTCGAGTAATATTAGCTGACAGCGAATCACGTTGTTGAAGAGAAAAGACAGAGAAGGTCATGTCGAAAACGGATATCAATCCATGTAGTCATTGGCTGTTTGATTTGACTCACGTAAGATGCAGAATGTGGAATGTGGAAACTTGAACCGTTGTACTTTTATACAGAGTTCTACATCGAAAACTCAGTCAGTCAGTCAGTTCCATGCATTACATTGACTAGATGTTGATTTTTCAGATGGTGGAAAACACTCATATGAACATTAGAAACGTGAGAACACAAAGTTCAGCAAAGATGTCGATCTTTTCGGCGATTTCATTTTCAAAAGTAGCTGTACAATCACATTTAGATACATAATTTTACATGGAGACAATTCTTGTTTGATTCTACATAATTACGACGGCGAATAAAAGGTGATAATTATTTCCAACTAGATATGGTTTTTACAAGACGTACTAATGGACTTAACCCTAACTCACTTCAGAGACTCAGGGATTGATTTGCTACCAGGGAATAATCTCATAGACTTACAATATGCGGACGATATAGTCTTTCTAGGCGAGGACGCAGACAAAATCCAGCAGAGTCCACTGAACACCTTGAGCAACAATCTTCGTAAGTTTGGCATGCGATTCACCCCTGTAAAATGTAAGATGATGTTGCGGGATTCGACGACACCGACCGCAAGATTAGAAATAGGAAGTGAAGTGGTAGAGCACGTTGACCGCTTCACCTATTTGGGAAGCTGCATCAGCCAACGCCAGCGGGTTGATCACCGATGAAATCTCAGCACGGATACAGAAGGCTCGTCTGGCATATACCAGTTTACGCCGTCTCCGACTTACAGTGATATCCGGCTGGCTATCGACCAAAGGGCGTGTGTACTGCTCAACAGTCCTCTCCGTCCTCCTTTATGGCTGTGAGACCTGGCCATTGAGAGTGGAAGACATGAAAAGCCTGGCTAGTTGTCTTTGATCATAGGTGTCTGCGTTCTATCTCCCGTGTGAAGTGGTATAATAAGGTGAGCAATATTGAGGTTAGGCGTCGAGGGTTAGGTAGGTGGGAGGGGAAATCAATCGACGAGGCTGTGAAATTACATCGACTGAGGTGGTTAGGACATGTGTTACGTATGCCTAGCCATCGCCTTCCTCGACAATGGGCAATGTTAGCTGATAATAGAGTCAGGCTGGAAAAGAGCTAGCGGCGGCCAAACCAAAACATGGTACCAGTCAATGAAATCTACAACAGTTAGTCTAAGCCACGTAGGAAGATGTAGACTTCCTGACTGGTTTGGGTCCTCGGGACGGTAAAAACCAATGGTTGGAAACAATTGGTGACATGGCTCAAAATCGTTCTCAATGGCGGGTGCAGATACATCCACTTCTTGTGACTTATGATCTCCATTTAAACTGTTTTGTTCTTCGTTATTACTATTCCTTTGTCTCACACCTCTGTTTACTGTCTCGAATATGCATTTCTTCTACTTTCTTCTCTTCCTTTGTGTGCTACATGGAGTGTGGCGACTTGAACTGCCGCACATTTGTGCAAAGTTCTATGTCGAAAACCGACCGACCGGTTTTTACGAGAGGCTTAGAAACAAAATTACACAGGATCAGAACGAATATCGTGTGTAAAAATGAGCATGGAAACAAAATTGAAATAATAATTTTCAATTTGAGATGGGAATTAGAAGGTGTGAATATAGATAACAAGAGCCTTAGCACCTCCTAATTCCCATCTCAAGTTGAAAATTATCATTTCAATTTTGTTTCCATCCTCATTTTTACACACTTGATATCCATTCTAATCCTGTGTAATTTTGTTTCTAAGCCTCTCGTAAAAACCATATCTAGTTGGAAATAATTATCACCTCTTTTATTCTCCATCGTAATTATGTAGAATCAGAAAAGAATTGTCTCTATGTAAAATTATGTATTTAAATGCGATTGTACAGCTACTTTTGAAAATAAAGTTGCCGAAAAGATCGTCATCTTTCCTTAACTTCATGTTCTCTCCTTTTTAGATGTTGATTCACAAATACAACACGTGAACAAATCTTGAAAGACAGACAGTACACACAGAGGCAAGTTGACGAAGATAATTACGGTCAAAAATCTAAAGCGCACCTTCAGCAAATATGTTTCCACGATTGTAGAGTACAAAACACTAAACTAGTACACAATACATCCATCATTTGATATATTTATTTATTATCATCCTTAGCAGAACATTGGGGCTCCAATTTTGAACAATCCACTGTCTTCAATGACAGGTGTTGGCTTGACTAACCCCGAACTCTTTTCCGACCTTATCCTATGTCAGCAACTACTGACTGTCGAGGAAGGCGGTAGGTCGCCATGTGCAACACCTTAGCCATTTCAATCGACTCAGCTTCACAGCCTCATCAATTGAGTCTCCCTCCTTACCAAATATTTTACTCCATCTATGAATATTACACACCATACTACATCACCTAACAGTAGAGATGGGACGCAAACGTGTGTAGTTAAAGACGGCTGGCTTCTTCCAGTATTTTCTTCACTTTCAACGACTACGTCTCACAGTCATAAAAATAACAGATGGAGCGAACTGCTGCGCAGTAAACACATCCTTTGATGGATATCCAGGTATTACGTCTACATTGGCGTGCATGTTAGCCAGTCAAAGGGGCTCTTCCTGTTCAAGACTTTTAACACATATACAAATTATCTAAATCTAACTTAAGTCTGTCCGTTTTCGACATAGAACTTTGCACCGATGTGCAGCAGTTCAAATCGACACACTCCCTCCATGTAGCATACAAAGCAAGAGAGGAAATTAGAAGAAATGTAAAATAGAGACAGTAGACAGGGATATGAGACAAAGGAATAGTAATAACGAAGAACAATATAGTTTCATTAGAAATTATAAGTCACAAGGAGTGGAAGAATCTGCGACAGCCATTGAGAACGAGGATTTTGAGCCATATCACCAATTGTCTGCACACTTCATTGGTTTTTACCGTCCCGAGGACCCCAACCAGTCAGGAAGTCTACACCTTCCTACGTGGCTGGCTGGCTTAGACTAACTGTTGTGGATTTCATTGACTGATGAAGCCATGTTTTGGTTTGACCACCAGTAGCTAACTCTTTTCCAACCTGACCCTATGTCAGCCAACATTGCCCGTCTGTCGAGGAAGGCGATGACTAGGCATGCATGCGTAACACTTATCCTAACCATCTCAGTCGATGTAGCTTCGCAACCTCGTCGATTGACTTCCTCTCCTTACGTAACACTCGACGTCTAACCTCAATATTGCTTGCCCATTATACCATTTCCCACGGGAGATATAACACACGCACCTATGATCAAAGACAGCTAGCTAGCCTTTTCATGTCTTCCACTCTCAATGGCCATGTCCTGCCCACATCCATAAAGGACGGAGCGGACTGCTGAGTAATACACCTGCCCTTCGGTCGACAGCCAGCCAGTGGGATATCACGTCTACTTCAGAGACGGCGTAAACTGGCATATGTTAAACGAGCCCTCTGTATCCGTGCAGATATTTCGTCGGCTATCAACCTGTTGGCACTGGCTGATGCAACTTCCCAAATGAATGAAATGGTCAACGTGCTCTACCCCTTCACTCCCTATTTCTTCTAAGCTAGGAGTCGTCCAGTGTCGTCCAGTTCTGTAACATCATCTTACATTAGGCGGGAGTGAATTGCACGCCAACAACTTAAGGAACCAAGTAAGCTGATACAATCCAATAAAAATTAATGAAATACACAATAAATTCGAAATAAAAAGTAATGAAGTCCTTTTTCAGAAAAATCAAGGCGTAGTCACACCCACACAGATACTTACCTTTTCAGCTAACATGAATATTTTCCGTTGATCAACTCCACCGAATTGAGCATCCACTTTCAAGTGGATTTCATCTAACGCTTGTAACAGTGGATACAACAGTCCAGAGACAAGTGGATTACTCACTTGTTTGACAACTTCTGCACCTGCTTTACGAGCATCATGCACTGACGTTAAAGCCATTAAACGATATACATCGATAGAATACTCCCTAAATGATAATAATAATAATAAAAATAGTATTAGTTATAAACAAACTACTTACTAAAGCTATGCAGGTAACTTAGAAATATGATAGTAGTTTTAAGCCCCAGATTATTAAGTTACAAGTAATTTGTAACGGACTATGATCCTAGTCGAGTTGCTCGAGATCTTATGGAAGGGTTTGTTTTCTTATGTAAGTGTGTAGACTGTTTGTACTACCCGACTGCCCATACCACGGAGACTGATTTCTTCTTCGAATATCTGAAACAGAAGGGGCATTACGGTTGTGTGACAGCATAGCCCAGGAGATAACTACTTAAGGCAGGTGAAACACGGCCTGTTTGAAGTGGTCTTTGAAGCTGCGTCTGTATACAGACCTTACCATTAGCTACGGACAGTCTCAAGGTAAGTCAGGATGTACAATCTTCAGGGTCGACCTTTTCTATCCGCTTCCCCCCCCCACCTCATTCTCCAGAGTGGAGAAACAGCCTAGCTAGCTTGCTAGCCACCTGAAGGAAACACAGACGCCTTACCGCTGTTACGTCCTTATTAACCACCAGTACGAACGAATTCGCACAAAGAACCCCCCCCCCAAAAAAAATATAGCGTAAATGACTCTCATTATTATGGTAACTGCTTTTAGTCTAACCGCTACCTAAAAGACCTTTTTGGCATGGTAGGACCTGCAAGACCACTAATCCCAGCCAGTATAACTTGCTGGGTTATTGTGATATGCGGCAGCACCAATGACCAAATAAAAGTAACAACTATCAAACAGGATAGTGTTGTTTCCTCTGAACTAAATCCGCTTTATCGGCAACTAATTGCAATTCTACGCACAGATTTCAATGCAGCCCACACCTATTACTTCAGGGCTGATGATATCATACCTGGGTGTCAAGATTTAGGTAGATGGAGTTGGCTTCGAAACCGTGGTCCAGTAACAGAATGTCGAGCCTATTTTTCAGCTTTTTTGAGGACCTTTAGTTCTTCAGAGTTGAGTTGTATGTGTTGTTTTTTCTGTTTGGCCATTGGTACAATTGTTTGGCGTATGTCTTCCTGTGTTTCCTCGTTCAAGTTTGATGATTTGAGCAATGATTCAAGGACAGCGAAGAAATCAGTTTTCGAGGCATCTCCGGTGTTATAGTCTAATCCTTTTTGTAGTTGTTGTTCCGTTTTCGATAGTGGTTGTTTTGATAGGTTGACTACGCAGTCAATAGGTGTATTGTCTGGTTGTTGTGTTTCTAATCTTGGCTAGCTTGGTTTTGAGGACTCTTCGTCTTTGTTCTCTGTGTTTTCTACTTGACAACGTAACTGCGATGATCAGCGTTGACAGGTTTTCCTGGTTGAGGGTTTTCTCTAGTTTTTCTTTTTGGACATTTATTATTTGTTGATCCGATAATGTGCGTCTGTAATCATTAATTTGACCATTCGTCTTCCACATTGTTCGGCCAATTTCCATCCCATTGGGCAGTTGACTGGTGGTTTGTATCTGACACTGGTCGGTAGGATTTGATGACGAAGGTACTCATGGAGAAAGAATAATTGTTCTCTTGTGGATCCTTGCCTTTTGGCGAAGTCTTCCCACTTTCGAACAGAGAGAAGCGTGTTCCGCTCGTAAGATTTAGATATGATGGAGAAGATTTGCAGCTGAGGTTGATGATTTTGATGTGGTTGTGTTCTCTGAGCTGGATAGTTAATTTGCAAATTAACTAATTGGCTACCATATAAATTTGTGGGGATTTCGCTCAACACGTTATTAAAAACTCTTCGGAAAGTAAACAAAAAAATTCAATCATATAAAACTCATTATGATGACCCGATTTTGGGTTTTCGGTAGGGATATGGACCTTATTTTAATGTAGATCGCGTCACAAACCAACGTAAGTAAGTAAGGGAACCTGTAAAAACCACGGAGCACTGAATATTTTGTCCTAGTTTGAGACCTCTTCCATTCAGCACTGTACACCCACCCATGATCTCGAAGTCAGAAATCGAAGTCAGTACATTTAGTTCACAAGATTACATTGAAATCAGTTTAAATCCCTACAAAACTTAAAATCTGAAATACCAACACTTACAGACTACTAACGGATATCGGATGGATGAGAAGCTGTGGCGGTTGAGGGAACGCGTGATTATTACTCACTCTCAAACTGAAAGGAGTTAAAAATTCATGGGCGACCTGGGCGCAGAATGGTTAACAAGCTAGTCTCACGTAACCTAAAAGTCCAGCGTTCGATCCCTGAAGCAGAGTCATGGCTACGAAGTGCTGGAAAGTCCCAAACTCGGACGAAACATCTGTCCTCAAGTTCTCGGTGGTTGACAAAAATTTATGTTAACTCGTAGAGAAATCTGCAATGTAATACTTATACATTAGTGAGCTTCTACAACTAATAGGGTTTTTGAGGAATAATAGGGAAATTGATAACTTAATTGGTGGATGGTGACTAGCAGTGGAATTCAGGATGCAGGTACATCCAGCTGATGACGAGTCCCAAATAGGACGTATTGCGCGTTGTCCTGGATTCTACTGCTAGTCACCATCTACAAATTAAATTCTCATTAAATGCCCAGACATCGTCGAAGCATCTTCGCAAGAAGCCGACATTTCAACCTGAGACCGAACACTTCGGTCCAATCAATCGATGGGAAAAACTAAAATTATATTAAATTGATAACTGTTTCACAAATTTGATGGAAACTATCTGCCGATAGACAACCTCCAGTCTACTTCTTTTTTTCCACGAAGAAAGGCTTTATCCCTTATTATAGATTACCTTTTTTTACTAAGCTACGAGCTACACTTTGTGTGATGACTTACGACATTAGCCTAATGTTTAAGTGAAAAAGGTGTGAAAGGGCTTGGACCCACAACTCAAGTGTTTAGGCCATACACCGTCGCATTTCTACATCTGTATGATATTTTTCAACGTTTCGAAACGATGGTTATAACAGGAATCACATAATATTCGCATGACAGAGACTCGGAAAAAAGTGCACTTATTGCTTGCAATGTAAGAATGACAGTCGATTATTGCAATAGGTTACTTCTATATTTGTCCACTAATTATATTTAGCTATCATGTTCTCCAGTGATTAGTTAATAACAAAGCAAAGTTGATTAAGACATTTCCAGAAGAGCATATATCCCAGTGGTGTATCGGTGGCACAGTGGTTAGGATGCTCGCCGACCATGCACATTGTCTGCGGTTCGATCCCCGGCAGACAAGGCACTCCTTTACCTCGATAAGCCAGAAAAAAGCTGGTAAAGGGGAAAGGTTGGGCATGAGGCTAGCAACCTCATCCTGTAAAAATAAACACTGCTACAGAAACTTCAAGCCTCTAGCTTGAGGCCCTATGTTTCACTGGGAACGTGATGGAATAATATATATATATATATATATATATCCCAGTATTTTCTACATTTACGTGTAAACACAATAGACAAATGACAATGTTGGTTTCCGGAGATTCGATTGGTTACAGGATTTCATCATGATGAGCTGACGTCGGTTGGAGAACCATTGGAAAACCAGCTGGGAGTATTGGACAGTCAGTCAGTCTAGGTTGGGACTCCTCATCAGTACTCATCCACATCACAAGGGTTCGAACACAGAACCTTCCGGTTACAGAGAGAGCTAACAGACCACTAAGCGACTGGGACCCGATCCATTAGCCAACCTATGAATCCCAACTTCCGCTGATTCACAATAGAGCACGACTGGCACTAACCAATGTCATCGGTAGCGAGTGTTTGTCCTCACACCCGACCGGCTGTAATCCACTAATCACGACTTCCCACTAGAACCCTGGTAACTACTCACCTGAATAGGTTCAGTCGCTAGTGAGAGTCAAATTGATTGAACCGCTGGAAACCAAAGTAGTACTGGACAGTTGTTTCTTCTTAACCTGGGACTCTTCAGTGGGACCCACCAAGAGGACAGTTTATTCGCCGACGACTGAATCATATATCGCGAATTTGAAGAATCTGGAATTTATGGTGAACTGGATCGGATCCAAGTGACTGAACGGTCTATGAGCTTCCGTTGTAACCGAAAGGTCACTGGTCCGAACCCTGGCGGGTACATCCTATTGATGAGTCCAAAACAGCTGTCAAGTACTTCCTGGGTCCTTCATATGAAAAAGGTCGAAATGAATGATAGGTCACACATATACTTACTCGGTCAACTGATAGTCAGCTCCACGTACAAAATGTAACTGGTCTAACGGTACACATATAGAACGAAACATTCCCTTTATAACAGCTTCGTAATACTTTGTGCGAAGACGTAGTAAAGACCATGGAGCTTTCATATTATCCAAGTAGGCGTGTAAATCAGCAAAGAGTACAGTCACTCTAATACCTGCTCGAAGCATATCAGCCAGTTTAAGAATTGGAACAAAATAGGCTATATGTGGTCGACCAGTTGTAGCGGTACCCCAGTAAACAGCCATGGCTGGATTTTGCTTTTTTAGTAAAACTTGAAGATCATCCTCACCAATCACCTCCTAGAAAAAGAAAAATATTAACAATCTTTTTTTTAAATGGATAAGCACAAGCATTCATTGAACAGAGAAGAAGCTAACTTAACTAACTGGGCAGCTTTTGACTATGAATGCCCACTCGGGAATCTTTCATGTTAGATGGACTTATAGGGTTAGCAATAATGACACTAGATTTAAGGTGTTAAGTAATGATGGGGATTGTGAAGCTTCATCGATTGAGATGGATGGGATATATGAGCAATTGCTCCTATTAACAAGCAGAGTAAAGTGAAAAAGAATCAAATTGGAAAAGATTTTGGACTGTCATCTATGGAAAGATGACACTGATGCATTAAATCTTTGATTGTCGGTTTGAGCCACATATGGAGAGGTGGACTATATCGCTGTAAACAAACTTTTCGCGTTCTGCTTATCTGCTCCGCTTTATATCACGGACAGTCATAGTAATGTGACTTAAGTTGCACGACTGGTGTCTGTGTTCCAATTCTGTTACAGTGAAATGGTGGGCTTATGTATTCTGGACGTGGATCTGCTGAAATGATCTTCAAAGTATTCTGACCAACATTACCCATCACCTGTCATTCACAGATATCGTTTCACTCACCAGTCTTTCGGTGACCTACCAATTTAATACGTCTAAGCAGCTGATGAGTATAATGTAGTGCTACGCCTTCACCACTCCTCCTGCTGTTTTCGTTGCCCATCAGTTTTTGGGATCACTAAGAAAACCTCCAGACGGTCATGAAATAATAATAAATGAGTTTATAAGTCTCTCACAATCTACAGAGCCGGTGGAATTAATCACTTTACATCGAACAATTTGTATGACACTTGAGAAAAATGATCACGTTGTTGACTGTCTTCACATCACTTCCCACAGAAGACTGCATTTGCATCAAGCTTCTTAAGGATGAATACCACTGTTATTTACAGATGCGCGCATCAAGTTGTCCATAATCAAAATGGTACAACTAAAGACACAGCTTAGTCTTCATTTCGAAATACTCACACATGTGGTCACGCGCTAATAACCTCTGCCACGTAAGCCTACACGCGAATGAGTAAAAGGGCGATTGCCAACGTCTCGCGCTTACAACCTGACAGTTGAGCATGTTACTCCACCTAAGAAAGCTGGAAGTCCCTGATTCTAAACCTATTATGTATATCGGGCCCCATAATCTGAAAGGATCACATGGAGTATGAGCTTGTCTTGGTCATCAGCAACCATGGAAACCTAGCTCATGACGCTGCTCCACTATCTACCTAATGGATCAGACCTCAAAATCAAAGACTCAGATAGGGTGATGTCTCAAGAAAATCCAACTTGCTTAGGTCTAGGCGTCCGGGGAGTAAGTATTTCAGCCGTTAAACAAAACATGAGAATTTACGCAGCGCATTTCTTGGCTCCTACAATGTACTAAGTCTGTGTTTATTCATTTATGTCAAGTGGAGACATTAATGAGTGAAGTTATCTTTGAAAGTAAAATAAATCTGACGTAAATCTGACAAAGTATATGAATGTTTAGAAGTGCAATCGTTGCTTTATTTTATAGAGAGCGGTTAAGTATGAAAATATGAACTCACCTGAAGATTTCGGACAACTAATGTATATTTATCTGTTTCCATAACAGAAATTGTATATATGCTTCTTCACTTTGTATATTAACCAGTAAGTAGATAAGTAGATCAAGGGACAAAATTGCACAGGTGCCAAATATCTACACTCCACAAGTGAATCAAATAACTTCTTTATATCATCCTGAGATTAAAACGTTTTTTGAAAAAAATTTTGAAATATTTGCCTAAATCATACAAATGAATATTCAATAATGAGTTTGAAAGCAAATCATATAGCGAATGAATAACGTAAATAAAGTGTGAGTGAAACAGCTTCAGCGGGACCTCAAACTGTGTACTTTGAACTGTTACTTAAAGCACAAGATTGTTATTTGAAGGGATAGTTTTAAAACGTTGCAAAAGTGACTCTGTCAAACCATGTGACTGTGGTTAAAAGAAATTTGACATTATAACAAAAGAACAGAAAGAGACAACTTTACAGAGTGAATCTTAAAGAACTTTTAATTACTTTAAGCTGAGTACAACAACGCTATGATCAATTAACAGAGGCTATTTAGTTTTGAATTCATAATTTAAAATGCATTTCAGTATAGTATCATAAAATTAAGTCATCAATTTGATGATATTAGATGGTTGGAGGCAATCGGCAGGAAGCCTTGGACCTAGGTTTCGTGCTAGCTAGCACGGCCCTCGTCAGCAAGGCGTATCTGCAAACTTGAAGGAACTCATGCCCCTCCTTCTGAGGAGATTCAAACCGGCGTCACCCAGTGAGTACTGCAGTCAGAGACGTTACCACTGAGCTATTCGGGCTGGCTCGCGATTGACCTCCTGTAGGATTGTAGTGGGTATTTTCATTGAACACTAGTAACTAGTCATTAATTGTACTTTGATTTCATTGAAATGACGACCTATAGCATATCTATACTTTTACAGATTTGACCTAAGAGTTTGTCGAACAATACGATATCTATTACTTGACTTATTCGGGAAGTTGCATCAGCTCCAACGAGCTGTTGCTGATTGCTGACGAGATCTCAGCACAGATACAAAAAGCTCGTGTGGGATATATCAAGCTGCATGATCTCTGGAGAAGATATGATGTCCGACTATCGATCAAAGGACATGCATTATGCGTCAGTTTGCACCATCCTTCTTTATGGCTGTGAAATATGGCCACTGAAAATGTTAGCTGCCCTTGGTCATAGGTGTCTGCGTTCTATCTCCCGTGTTAGATGGTATGACAGCGTGAGTAATATTGAGCTTAGGAGGTCGAGGGTTAGGTAAGGAGGGAAAATCAACCGATGAGGTTGTGAAACTCATACTGATTAAGATGATCAGGAAATGTTAAGCATGCTTAGTCATCACCTTCCTCAATGTTAGCTGACTAACAGAATCACATTGGAAAAGAGCTAATGGTGGTAGTCGAACTAAAACACATGGATTCAGTCCATGAAATCTTGGACAGTTTAAGCCATGTAGGGAATTATACACTTCTTGGTTGGGGCTCTCGATATTCTAAGAACCAATGGCTCGATCGAAATCGTTCTCAATGGTACAGGGGCATTCACCCTTTGTAATCTCTCCCATATCTATTAAACCTGTACGTTTATTTTTCCATGTTAGTATCCTCCCTCTTACACATGTAAGCTTATCATAGTTCACTTAAATCCCTGTGGGCTACATGGACTGGCAACATGATGTGCTACACTTTTGTGCCAAGTTTACGCGGAAACCAGTCAATTTTTTAACATTTAACCAACAATGTAAACTGTCCCGCAAATCAGTAACAGCTTAAGACGAAAGAAAATGGGTTCTGACTTGGCGATTAAAATGTCACCAAGAAAATTTGTTACATCAAACACTTGAGATTTTTGTACGGTCAGTCAGCATCATATGAGAAGGTAACATTTTTACTGTTTAAGATCAGTCTAAACTTGCTAACGGAAAAAAGTGTATATGCTTACTGCAATGGTTATCACTGATTTGCATAACCTTACGGATGTCTTCACAGAGAGATGAGTAATGACGCTCCAACAACAAAATTATAACGCTTGCTGATAAGAGCATAACGCCTAGACTGTAAAAAGAGGAATTCTAAACATTTATTTACATTAGATCACCTAAGATAAACCATTAAATTCTGTGTTATGTTCTAGACATTAATGGAAGTACATACATCTGTTGGTAGTAGGTGTAAACCACGAATAATAAGTAGGCGCTACAGATTTTTAAATAACCAGAAATATGATTTTGAAAGAAAATCAAACAAGCTCATTTTACTCCCTTTGATCGAATGTTGTTACTACGTTGTACCTTCAACGTCTACTTCAGATTCAACGATGAAATCTACGGGCAAACAGATGATGTAGCAATGGGCTCTCCCACTGGGACCCCTCTTGGCCGACTATTTTATATGGCCTACCTCGAATACAACTTCTTGTCATCGACTATCATCGACCTTCATGTTTACAACAGATGCATTGATGACACTTTTATTATTTGTGATGAGAACCTGGATCTTGAAAACTCATTTAAAACCTTCGACAATACCCACCAAAACATCGACTTAACTCTTGAAGCTGAATTAGACGGAATGTTCCACTTCCTCGACATCCATCTGACAAGAAACGCCGACAACTCTCTGAAAAGGTTCATATACAAAGAACCTACATGGAATGGACAATTCGCCAACTCTCAAAGCATCGTGCCCCTAAGCAGAAAGAGGAACCTTATATAGGCTCTTTCCTGGAGGGTTCAGAAGATATGCAGCGAGGAATTGATTGACGGAGAACTGCGTAATCTCCGAGGTACCCTGATGGAAAACGTTTTTCCGCCTACATTCATAGACAAGAATCTCAAATCAAAGAAGACTTCCAAACAAGTCTAATCCGTCCCGAAGAAGATACTTCTGCCTAATCCAGACTTCAAAGGTGACATTGAAGCAGAAATCCTTCGTAAACGCCTCTGCAAATCTCTGAGGAAAACATACTCTGCCGCAAGCCTACGACTGACGTTTTCCTGCAAGAAACTGTTCAGCCAAAACGCGAAAGACAAGTTGTCGCATTGGGCGACTTCAACGTGCATATACCAGTTTACTTGCTCGTGCGGAGCTGAGTGCATCGGCCGTACCATGAGCTAACTTGAAAAACGCACTCGTGAACACAACCCAGCCTGGCTAGTAAAAGGAGAACGAAAACGCGTATATAGTTCACTGACAGAGCATCTGGTCAATTCAGGATATTCAGTTCCATTCGACAAATACATATGCAAATTTAATTCATTCATAAATAAATAAAAATAAATTCGACAGAAAAGAAAGTAAGTCATCAATGTAATCAGATGAAACTAAAGTGAAAACAGTTTGGATGATTTACACAAGGGCAAACCATACTCGACTTGGAATCTCTCCTAAATGATTGATTCGAGAATAAATAAACTGCTGTCATACACTGACAAATATAGACAGCAATAAATAACTAGTCGTCCGGATAATGAGATTAACATAGTTCAAGACTGAGATCTAATTTGGTTCAACTGCATATTGACCTTTCCTACACCAGACGTTCATTTGAAATAAACCCAGAGTCGATTAGCGATTACTAAATTTATTCTCAAAATCCGTTTATCAAGCTTGATTAATTCGTAAGAGAATTCTATAAACTACTTTTTACAGTCTAACCCACTGGTCACACCATTAGGTGAATAATTTGTGGCATGTGTTAGGGTTTGTGACTGCTGAAACACATTTTTACACAATATGAAATAAACGTCTATGTACATGTAATGCAATGTTAAAACATGGTTATTTGGGATAATATTCTTGTGAATGTCCCAAGAAAACCTCCCAATTCCTCCCAGAAGTCCTTATTGTCAAGTTAAACCAGTCTCTGAACACAGATCCGTCAAGGTCATCCATCCGTTCTGGGCTGCTATAGTTTATTCACCTGATAAATTTATCTTAGCAATATCGGGATAAAGCTACACCTCTGGTACAATTTAAAGACTCACATCCCATACAATTGCTTTGTTTTATGGTATTCACTTTCTATGAGGTTTTCCGCCCGAATAACACCCATTCCAAGATATTTGCTTGATGGTTCACTACACCCACTTTAGTCAACCAAACGTGGCGCAACTGGTCAACATCAGCTGTGGAGGTGGCACAGGTTAATTATGAAATGGTTGCTCCGGTATAAGCGTTTAAAACAGATCAGAAGTGTACGAGAGTCTACATCGGTACAAACCTGGGAACAGGAGTTTTCAAAAAATGCACATGCATGTATGTAGCGCAATATCCGAAGACACCGCTAGTATTCGAAGTTCAAAATAAGCTGACGAAAGCAAACTAAGTTCCCTGTGGAATAGTTGCACTTTTCAACGTTATAAAGCTTCTGCCTTGCTGTAATAGAATAAACGGAAAGTACTGAAACTGTGACCTTCGGTAAAGGAGACTGTGGTACCAGATTTGCGGTTCTGGCAATAAACGAACTAATAAACATAAGTCGGAAAGGGGACCACTTCCCGTAGATTCGCTTCAGAGTAGTGCGATTATGTAAAGGTTTCTATGTACACCGTTTATTATCAGTTGATAACAACCATAAATCAGGGTAAATATTGGATAGCAATGACCTGTCATCAATAAAAGTTATTTCTTTTTAACAGTCTAAATCGCATCTATAAGCCCTATAAGCAACTGCAGAGGAGAAATTGTAAAAAATTTATCTTTGCTAACTTATGCATTTTTAATTTACGGTACATGGGAGTGAACGAATCATTAGCATTTTCAGATTTATGGTTCTAATGGCTGTAAATTCGATTCTTTTATCAGCTTACGATGATATTATGTGGAGAATTCGGTATGGCAGAGATCCTCATTGAGTTGAGAAAAGGTCCAAGTAAATCTCGTGGATGATCCTGCAAGGCTTTTGGATGAAGTAACAGCCAGTTAACTCCAGAGTCTTATGAAACTGAATTAAGGAGATGCTTGTCAAATTTCCAGAAGAGCTTCCAATGATCTGCATATTTAAGAAATTGCTTTAAATCATAACGACGTCGCGAATGAAGCACCGACTGACCTCTGCGTTGACGAATCATTAAATTAGGGATGAATATTTGTGAAAGCTGAAGCAGATGCAAAACGCCTGAGGCTGGGAATAATAGGAAGATGAGTTCAAAGCTGGCGCAAGTTTAGTATCGGTACGAATAAGGAAGTTCCACATGAGTTAATAGGGATTCCCATTCTCCTATCAATGGTCAGCACTGATATGTATGTAATCTGATAATAAATAACTTAAAATAATCATATTTTGGACTATGTGCTACGACATTCGCCCTACCTGGATTATGTGACGTCTGCTTTCCAGAAGGTCTGCTGGAGTAGTACACGATGATGGTCTACTACAGTGTAGACTTATCAGACATGTCCCAAGTTGAGAAGAACTCCCGTTCTATGAGAGGCCACAAACGACTATCTAAGTCTGATAGCGATAAATGCTTCAAACCTACAGCCAAGAAATCAACAAATTAAATTCCACTTGTGCTATCTACCCACAGACGAACTTTGTACTTTTCGTTTTATTATTACTTCAGGTCTGTCTCTGAAGATCAAATTTGCTTAACTGAGTTTTCTTTCTACAACTGCTTGGTCGCCAAATCAATCAAGATATTGTGAAACGCATACAATCGGTACTTGAGCGCAAGTAGGTGACAGTAAATTAGCCGCCGTAACAGACTTATATTCAAACTTGGGGCCGAAAATAAAGATACATTAGTGCGTAGAAAGCACCTAAAACTATTGATTTTTAAGAATTACAGGTCATGTTGAATGTAACGAAGAACTGTCTGGATTGCAAACAATAAATGATGGCTACCTGTGTACGTGATAGGGACACTCGCAGTCAGCTGCACTTCTTAAACTGACGGTCTCGTTAAATAGTCTTAACTTGGCCAGTCCTGAGGCAATTAAGCTACTGTAAACACCTGATTTTGACAAAACTTTAGCCTTTACAACAAAATCCGATATGCATAGTATGAAAACATTACACAATAGCTATGGTGGTTTCTAAAAGCGGCTAGGTAGTACTTCTGTCGCGTAGATCCCTATTAATAAGACATTTGAATGCTAAAAGCTTCTGCCTATTATATATGTAGCTTCTGTACTCAACATACTTCTAGTTGTAGTGGCCTTTTTCCAGAGCGCACTTCGTTGTGGTTACCTTCATCTCTTGTGGGGCATAGTGTCACCTGACACTTACTGAGACTGATGTGTATGGGTTTCAGTGTTACCGAAGTAAAATTTCTTACCACTGTTAGCCTCCTCTCCCTTAGCAAATGGAGACTGTTCCCATCTCATCTGAGCTCACAGTTCGTGGTGTAAGTGACGAAAGTTTTTGACCTTCGTCGAATATGTGCCAAGAAAATACAAGTCCAATGAGACACCGAAATCACTGTTTAAGTAAGCGTGTCAGTGATGTGTAAAGTGTGTTTATTAAGGCGCCCAACACAATGGCGAACCACATGCATACTGATCAATTGCACCCAGGTCCGCCGAACATCTAAATGACATACGAACAGAGCATTCTATATCAGGAAAAGGCTGAAACCATTGTGCTTCTGTAAGTTTTGATCAATTTAGAAACAGGTGTTTTGAAACTTAGATTCCGTGTTAAAATTTAATCACGAGTATCAAGGCGACGTATGAGGGAAGCCATGGTTGTGGTTCATTTGCTCTTCCTCCGAGATGCTCATAAGTCGACAGAAATTCGGTATTATATGCAAATCTACCTTGTCTAAATTTTGGAGGATGACCGATAATGACTCAAGTAAGGATAAAGGTTTGCTGGCACTTCCCGTCCCCCAACAAAAATTTAATTCAAGGGCAACTGCCTTCATAGGAGGCCAGAACTCATTAATAAATGATGTTGGGTGCAATGAAACTGAAATCAGCACATGTCATTGGATTCAACTGAGGTAATATAAAGGTTGCCATATTCCTTCATTCATCACAACAGTGTCGCTGTCAGATGTGATATATCTACTCCTTACAATCATATTTCGGATTTATATTCTTACGATTGCCATATTTGCATCTTCTTTGGCTTCCTAACAGATATGACACTGTCGACTATATGTCTATAATTGGTTACTATAAAAAGGTAGTCAGTCCCTTCAAACTGTTTTACAGTCCGAAAACTTACTTAATTCCTGCACCTTTTCTAAAATTAGTAGGAAACCCGGTTTTATTCTGCTTGTGCCCCACTTGTTTTTGACGTGTATCCTTCTGTCCGGAAGCTGACGCGCATTATTCATAGACAAAAATCATGTTCAAAACACGACATTAGCAATCACATACCGAGAAACACAACTTCTATTCTCTCAAGAATACTCTGGAAGAAAGGGGATGATAAGTCTGCGATCTTTTTCCTGGACGAAAACGTCACCTTACAAATTTAAAATTGTTTAATCAATTCCAGTGCTACTTACGTGTTATTTAGTTCGGTATTTTTTCGCTATAGTGTCTCATTAGTCAAGCATGGAAACTGGTTTCAAAAACTATACTTCTACATAGTTAGGTTCTTGAGTGATCACCAAAGTCAGATTGGCTAAATTTGATCGATTACACTGGAGACTATGGTTTGCGAACTAGAGGACTGCCATGTCCGGCACAGCATTAAGTCTGAAACCACTCGGTGTAGGGAACTGTGTTCTCATTTACCTCATGAGGCTAATGAGGAGGTGTGGGATCTCATACTGCAATTCATCCCCAATAAGCAGCCATACGCAGTGTCTAATTGCGAGGTGATAAAATGCTTCCTCAAGTCAGAAAACTAGCGTATACAATGGTTGTTTCAGTGGGAGAAAATGGGGAACAGATCCCCGCCACAGTCCTTGCGCTATTTGCAGCTGCTTGTTGAACAGCAGCACAGTGGGAGCGGCCGCACTGGAAAATGCTGGATGCAAGCACTCCCAGAGTATTCGCAACACTTACTGGACACACAAGATCCGGACCCCATTCTAAGACAGCAAGCACGTATTGCTGTTCGGATGTTGGAGAGGAGGCATTTACAGAATGGCAGGTGAACCATATGAGTATGAGCAAAGATTCAATAATCCCAGAAATTGTGGTGAACGCTAGATCACTAACGGAACGACTGGGCGAGTGCAGCTAATACAAGCCAGACGAGGTAGATCCTCCAATAGAGCACGTTCCTGTTCAAGGAGTAGACCCAAAAACTGGGTCAACAGGCCAGTTCTGCTGTACATAACCATGCCTTTGGCCTAAGCTACCTCACAAGCAACAAGGAAACGATTAACCCCTTCTCCGACAGCAACTACCGAAAAAGGTTCCCCGAACAGTCACCAATTATACGTTAAGGATAAAAACTCTGATATAGACTTATATGTTGATACGGGAACTGCACTCACCATCAAACCAAAAGCAAAGGCCGAGCCGGGACGACAAAATTCCCCTGCCAAGCCACGAGCCACCAGCGAAACCCAGATAATGATGTTCGGACAAAAAAGCTTGACGTCGGGTATAAGTGACGGCTTTTATGGGTTTTCACTGTGGCCGATTTAGACCTAGCAATCATTGGCATAAACTTCTTAGAACTTCTCGCTGGATGCTTGAAACAGACTTCTAACAATGATAAAGCTCCTGGTATGCGGATGGAAAGGCGAGCGACCACCATTCGATGAATCTAGTTCAGTCTCCGCTAGTATCAACCGGCAGATTCCAGAAAATACTGGCGGAATTCTCAGCTGTGGCAGCAACCAATCCTTAATCTTCTAAAACAGGCCAGGAGATCACTCATGCTGTAAATACATACGGCCCCCCAGTATTTGCTAAGTCAGGGAGATTAGCCCAGGACAAGCTAAAAGTAGCGAAAGCTGAATTTGATTACTCACATCAATTGGGGATTGTTCAGTCTTCGAGTATCAAATTGGCCTGGACGTTACACATGGTGCATAGGAAGGGTCAAGGTGACTGGCACCTTTGTGGTGATTAAGGAGCCCTAAATAAGCAAACCGTCCCAGACAGGTGCCCAATACCCCACATTCAAAACTTTACTGTTAGTCTTTGAGGTGCCACAATGTAGTTCGAGCCTATCACAATATGCCGGTGGCTAGAGAAGATATATTTAAAACAGCCATTACGATACCACTAACCATCATTTAGTAACCTGGAAAATTATTTTGATAGAAAGTGGGTTTACTAATCAGTACTTGATTTCAGGTTCAATTACTCGTCCGATTTCAAGGTCGCTATTTTACTTACCAAATTTCCGGAATCAAGGGATTTCAGTAAC